TTTTTTTTTTTTTTTTTTTTTTTTTTTTTTTTTTTTCCCTTGACCGACTATATGATATAATGGCTTGCGGGCCGTGATTACTGCTTACTTCATAAGATTGTTTTCTTTTCTTTTCCGTTTTTGGGAGTGACTGGTAAGTGTACGGAATACTCCGTAGATGATTTGTTATTCTTTTTGGGGGGGCTTTATATTTCCATTTTATTTTCTTTAATTTCGTTGTTCTTGGTAGGGGTTTCTTCTTCTGTATTATTGGGTATGTCATTTTGAGATAATTGCTTGGGATTTTACTAGGACGGATAGTATTCAGTTTGCTGCATTGCAATGTATACTGACTGGATAACTTGTGAACTGTCAATGAAGAAAATGTAAGGTGATTAGGTAGTGAGGGTAAATGATGATATCACCAGACAGGTTCAATCATTCTTGCTTCTTCAAACTATCTACTTTGTAGTATGTAGTAAACTGAGTAGTGACTGTGACTATTGACGGAGTAACTTGGGTAGTTGCAGCAAAGTAACGTGATATGACGAGATGAGCTGGGTCATGTGTCTCTCTCATCAGTTTCAACTAACTATCTATTTACTTATCGTGTAACTACTGTAGTAGCTAGCTGGTTAACTGGTTAACGGAGGTGATGTAAGCTGGAATGGAATCCCTAATACACAGCTATGTGACTACTCAAGTAATCCAATTAGTAGTATGTCAGGTGCTAACAATGTCAGATGTTTGTTGTGTTGGTTGCCACTTAGGAATCAGTGCTTGAATGGATAGAAGGATAATTAATTAGCCCTCTATTCTTCAACATATGACTGGGACTCTCTCTGATACTAAGGGCAGGTATTTGCGATGTACTCATATGTAGTTAATCAGTAGGCTACTCTCTCCACGCACTTCATCTAAATGCCCTGCAAAGTCTAAGGAAACTGTATACATGCCTGTCTAGTTATCTGAGGGTCAGGATAAACCACGCACAGGCTGCAGCTCCCACTATCAAATGCAAACAGATCAGCCATTTGACATATTAGTAATCTATATCTAAATAACTAGTTGTAGTAGCGATGGTTATTTAAACTCATAAGCGAAGTATGCGAACCCATACTATAGTAAGCTGTATTAAAGGGCCCGTGGATACTCAGGCTCCATAATAGGTTTTGGAATGAAATGGGCATCTACTCGAGAGAGATGAAGGAGGGGGAAGTGGGTGGAAGGGAAAAAAGAAAAAGGGAAAGCCACTACGCAGACGCATTGACCTTGTGCCCCCCCCTATCCCTCCCCTGGTTGATGGTGGTGGACACCCAAGGTTCTAGGAGGAATGATTTAATTTATTCTGGAAGAACTAGGTGGAACTACATATAACAGGACATAAGTCTCTAACCACGGGGGTAGGGTGCCTGCGCCTTGCCGACCATACGATAAGGAGGGGAAGAATGTTCCATGGGAAGATGACCCCGGTCAAGTAGCAGGAGGATGTTATGGACCCGCCGTATGGGTTTAAGGGGGCGCGCGTTCCCTGGCTGACCGTTTCTGCACTGATGGCTGCGTTGACTATTGATTGGGTTGGGTAGGAGGAGGGAGGGCGGCAGCTGCTCAAGTCTATGTTATCAGGTCTCCCTCTAGTGCCTCACTCACACACAGACACTACAACACACACATTTTCTCTTTGTGCAAGACGATCGGTGGCTTGGACGAGGTGTACTGTGGGTGGTGGTGGATAAAAGGAATGTGGTAGACTAGAGTGGTTTTGCTGGACAGGTCGTCCTCCGTGCTCTGTCTGTGGAGAGTGGATACTCGAGGTATAATCGGATAGGTCTCCTAGTGTTATTCTACCTATGAGAGCATTGAACAACATCTGAGCAAGTATGGAGACGGAGGGCTAAGTGTCAGGGTCGCGATGATCCTTCATCATCGTGCCTCGACATCAAATGATCGGGTAAAGGCATCAAGCCAAGTAGAGCCGAATTCGGGTTGGCATCATGACTGCTGGTGCTTGCTGGGAGTCTTAGCACTTGCCAGTGTCCTTATTAGCGGAGATTCCCCTCAGCCACTAGCCGATCCCAGATCGGCAGTTCTTTATCGTCACTCGCCAGGGTGGCATTGACCTTCACTGGGCTCATTGGAGCTCGCCCGGAAAGTGGACACTGGACGGAAGGGAGGAGGGGGCAAGAGGCCAAGTGTCTGACTTGCGAAGACAGCTCGGACAAGGTGGTTCCCGTTGGGATTGTCGTGGGGATGTGGTATGTGGTATCTACATCGTCGTGAGTTAGAGAGAAGGGGGACAAATAGATAGACAGGTAGGGTAGATAGATGATAGTAGCGGGTAGTAGGCAGGAACTAAGAATAATAATGCTGGCCGTCAACCATGGAATGGGCGAGTGGAGCAAAAAGGCAGTCACGCGGCCGCCCAGTCGTGGTACCCTTACGTCCTCGTAATCATTGGTATTCTTCCTCCGTATGTATGGTATTATTTCGGGGAATCCTCGCTTCACTCGGTCTCATCCGTCGCTTCGAACAACTGCTAGACAAGAGGATGAGAGGATGCTTCATTTGAAATTGGGTGCCTGCTTGTCCACTATGAGGTCACGGGCTTCTCCCCCCTCCTCCCTTAGGCTACTACACTACTGTATTCACAGTAACAAACTCTGACTGACGGAGACTTAGCTTTACTTAGGTGGCCCCCTCTCTACTAATCTGTCGGACTGACGTGCCTACTACCTACCTGAATCGGCTGCCGATTCCATGTTAAGCCTCCTCATCTGCCTCTATCTTGATACGGCGCAAAACTCCCAATCCCCATCGGGCAGTGGACAACTGTCATAGTCAGGACCCAAAGGGAAAGAAAGGGAAAATAAGGGTTCGGCCGTGGTCCCATCCGGTCACAAGCTCTTTCGCGCGCGCTCTCTTCGCTGGGTGGGGAGCGCGACTGCATGCACCGATGCGGGGGTTAAGGAACGCTTTCCACTGGCTAGTTTGCACCCTGTTGTTCAACGCTCCCCGGTGAATGCATCCCCTCCGTCGAAAACGGAGCTCGCTCACTTGCTGCTCAATTGCGGTTGGGGGCTCATCCTGCAGGTCTGCTTGACCTCGTGTTGATAACCGGATTCATAGGGAAAAGACGCGTCTAGCGAGGAGTGAGGAGTAGCTCCGCGGTATAGCGTACCAAGCTACCAATCTTCGAGATGAGCTGCTCGTCCAGTAGGACGTGGAATATCGCCTTTGCAATGTTTTTCGCCGACCCAGCGCAACTAATGTAGCCGCCGGGGAACGTTCCGGACATCGTCCGTTGGGGCTCATGTATGCAACTGCAGCGCCTTGCTGCAAATTCGCCACGATTGTACTAGCGGTCGAGCTGCGATGCGATCTGTTCGGTGCTGGTGATTCTTTGATAGAACCTACGAGATAACTAGTCGCTCCGCCCGTGACGTTGACCTGTTTCAGTTGCATCCATCAGATCGATGGGACCTGTGTGTCTTGGTGCTGATAGCGCCCGACTTCTCCGTACTTTGTCAGAGCTTCCGGGGCTGAGCCTTGCATTCAGCCAGTCAGGTACATTGCAGCACGGGGAAGTGAAAGTACCATCCGCCAAAGGGGTTGGACAAGAAGAGACATGCTCCAAAATTTCAATTATCAACCGAGACGAGCAAATGGCAAAAGATAGGTCCAATGAGAGTGACTTTCATGACGTTCTCATCCGTCATAGTTGAGGTTGCCCCGAGGATGAACCACGGTGAGCGGCGACGGTCAGCGCGCAAAGACCTTACAAGCTGCGAAAGAAAATTTTGCGCGCGTCTTCCCCGAAGCCTCACCCATGGTCGGGCAATTTCTTCTATTGAGGTTTAATTCCCACCATCTCGGGTCGCGTATCTGTGTGTTATTTTATTACCATTATCATTACTATATTCTTAGTTTCATCGCACGACCGTCGGAAAGCTTCCTTCGTCCATTCCTAGCCGGGCTGGAGAATCTAACTCACACTTGCCCACAGATTCTCATTGCACCGACGAATGGCAATGCACGAAAGCCATCCTATCCCTGTCGCGCGGTAAGTGAATGAATGCATACATGGCTCCTGCCATTTAGTAGGGTTCTGTTAAGAAGGCGCCGTACGGGGTACCCCATACAGCCCAGGGGAAAAAGGGAAAATCTGAATCACTTTCGTCACATTATCAACCCTATGATTCGATGTTCCGATGGACACATGTTCCCGAAGCGCGATGGGAAGAGATGGATCGGCAGCCTGCACATCCTTTCCTGGTTCTGCTTTGGCTGCTCACTCCCACTCGCTCCCACTCGCTCCCAGCCATGATCCGTCAGAAGGTGTGTCGAACCCGCGGGAATGGATCGTCCTGCCCCAAGCCGTTGACTTTTTTTGTGGTGGAGCTTAAAATCCGACCAGAGAGGGAAAAGTACGCCAGCCCACCTCCACTACCAGATTGGGGGGGTTGGGACCAAAAGGACGATACATCGACATCCAGCACAAAGTACTTACTCCTCCGTATACAGATGCATCGTTCTTATTTTATTTTTATTATTTTTTCTTCCTATTGCTGCAGGTGGAACATAAATGTGCTTTTTTGGCAACTCGTCTACGGCAGGCAAAAACACTAGTGGTGGCAATTGCAAGACTTGGGTTGTAAGTAACTGAGGGGGTTAAGATACCTCCGGTTGTAGTACCGTCTAGGTGCATTATCAGTGGCACTAGTCAGGATAGCGGGAGGCACGATGAGAGAAAGGTCGAGCGAAGCATTCCGATATTGATCCTGACCCCGTCTTGCGGCGATGGAGGCAAAGCCACGAATCCGATGGCTCGATCGACGTTGCATGACCTCCCCTGAAGACTTGGTGAGAACGTTTTGACTAGGTCCGACTGACTACTATCGCCCCATTTGACGTACTGATACAATCTTCTGCCCTTTTTGTGGCTTAATGATCCGCCGCCGCCTCGGCAATTGCTAAAGGGAGCTAAAGAGGAATGGAGAAGTGAAAGGTTCGCTTCGCATGGAGCCATACATAATTTGTGACTTTTCGCTAGGGGAGGGGGTGGGAAAGTGGAAAAGGCGAGCCGTCTTGCTATTGTTGGCGAGTGATGATTGATCCGTGGCAACAATAACAACAACAGGAAGAAGGGAAGGGGGAGGGAAGGAGGGAGGGTAAAAAAAAAATAAAATCACAATGTAAAAGGGCCATCCAACCTCAGCAGCATCATGCCTCTACATCATCGCCATGGATCATCGTCATACTACTAGCGGTGGATGATGAGGATCATCGCCATTCCTCCGAGAGCGACACCTCGTTGGCGGTGATGGGTGGCCCCCCTTCAGGGGATTTGGGTTCCCGCTAAGGAGGGCAGCGGCGAACCAAGGGGCGTGAAATCCTGGGTCCGACAGTCACTAACCGAACCACTGCTGAGAAAGGAACAGGACGAACCCCTAAAAGGGCAGCGGCGCCCACCAACCACGGGACGCCAGTCCGAACGGAGGCCCTTCACCGAAACATCATCTGGCGGCTTTTATTTGACCAGAGAGAGAAAGGAAAGTGAGAAAGAGAGACAGTGAGAGAGCTGTCTGCCTCTTTTTTTTTTGGTTCTTTTTTAGTCGCTGTTCACGTAGTAGTGAGGTGTGATGATGTATTTTCTGTTTGGTAGATGGCTAGTTGTTTCAATGGGATTGGACTCTTTCAATCTATCCATGTGTCTCATGTCTCTCTTTTTCTTGTATTCCTTTTCTTAGCGTTATGTCTCTATTCTGCCTGTCTTGTCTCTGTTTTTTTCGCCTCTCTTTTTTTACATTTCTTGCCTCCCTCCGTACCCAGGAATACGGTGATAATCATTCCAGTGGCGGCCACGAGTCTTCCCACTCTTAGTGTGGTGCCGCTAATCCCCAACTGGGTAAGACCGAGCCCACCGAGGTACCACTCCGTACTCTGTTTGTACCTCCCATACCAAATTCGGGTGAATTTCCTGCCCAAAAGTACAGCAGGCATGTACCCTCTGGGTAATTATGGGAATCGGTATGTTACCGGCTTCCCCCTGCTACCTGCCTAGTTCACTTAAGGCAGGGCTGTGATTAGCCCCGCGACCAGCTCTAATTGTCGCATAAATTGTGGTGGATTAGTGTCCATTTCCCAGCATGACAATACATACTGCGTGTGGTATCTGACTGTCATACCCGCTGCGACTCATGACTGACTGACTGACTTATTGGTTAGCTGGAGGAAGTACTCCGTAGTTAGTAGTGTTTACTATGAGGTACGTGGTCCATCAGTCACGGCGCTCTTCAGCAAGTTAGTTTGTATCTCAATACCATCTATTCACCGTGAGCAGTAACGTCAGAAGGCAAGTCAGTTGTTGGCTTACTAGTAAGTGTTCAGTAAGTTAGTAGGTGGTGGTATAGAGTATGTAAGTGGTACGGATATCAACCGCAGCAAAAGAGTGGTTCCTTTTTGCGACTTTTCATGCTAAATTCCCCATTATTACCTACTCGGGAGTATTCCTATTACATACCAGATCTGCTGCTGCTGCTGCGCTGCTGCTTAACTTGCTTTGCTGCTGCTGCTGCTGCTGCTGCTCTTTTTGCTTGCGAAACTGACCACGATAATTTATTATTATTATTATTTATTATTTCTTTCAAGGATTATTATTGCGACGAACTATTCCTACTTACAGCGACTTCCTCGACGTTCTCAATCTCCTCGTCGCGTTCATACCTCTCTCTTTTTACTCATCTTGCTGGCCGTTCCATTTTTTTTAAGCTACTGGCTTTGCTCCTCTTTCTCCTCTCCTCTCTTCTCCTGTCCTGTCCTGTCCTGTCCTGTCCATCGGGTCTTTCGTTCTCCTCCTCCCTTTCCTCACAAACCTCTCCTCTCTCCACTTCCCTCCCTCCCCGACTCTCTCACTGGGTTCTTCTTAACTAAGATTTTAACCACTCCCCCCCCCCTTTTTTGCCTCTCCCTCTTTAATTAATCTTACGTGACTGAGAGGAAGTGTGATTGTGACACACCCAGACCTTTGTCGCTCATCCATCAATCACCAGCAGCGTTGTTATTCCTTCCCACTTCGCAGCACTACTGCACTAAACACCACCGAACCCAACCCAAATCAGCACCAAAAACCCACCTCCCTCTTCCCCCCGTGTCCAAGTTTTTAGTCCGCCCGTTTTCGGACTGCCCAACGAACTTTCCTCAAACCCGGGTTCGACACCTTGGATTAATCCCTAATCCCTAATCCCTATAGACTGCCTTGCCCCAAAAAAGGAACAAAGGCGAATATAGCTGGCAATCACTTCAGGTACATCCTTGAATTGCTTTGTCCTGAAAGTGGTGGTTGTCTTTTCCCCTCCACCTCCCTCCCTCGTCGCCCCCCCCGAATTCCAGTTCGCTTAACCCGGACCACGGCTTGTCGCTCTGGTCCTCTCCTCCTCCCTCCCCCTCAAAGTCGCTCTCCCCTTTGACCGACTTTATTTCTCTCCATCTCTGCCTATCTTTCGTCTTGATCTGATCTGATCTCCCTCCTCTCGGGATCTCTTCCTTCCTGGCAGCCGGAACCTGTTTGCTTCTTGCCTGCTGTTTTCGTTGTCCCTGTTTTACTTTTTCCGGCCCGAGAATCCTCGACGAACAGCCGCCCTGGGAAACAAACCCACCTCTCGCTCTTACGCCAGCTACCTCCAGCGACAACGCAGATCTTCCCATCTGAAGTCATCGCTAGAGGTAGTCACAGCCCAGCTGTGAAGAAGACATTCAATTGCTGTGTTTGAACGTTGCTTGCGGGAGTAGTTCTATTCCGTTACCCCTCGACCGTGGAAAGCCTGCCTCAGCGACCGCCCCGAGACTTTTTCTTATTCGCTTCCAAGCCACCGTCAACCACAGAAACTCTTAAATTCAACCACCGGCGCCACCACCAGACTCTGAAAAAACCATGGCGTCAACATCAGATGTGCACGGTTCTTCTCCTGTGCCAACCCTGCCCCAGCCCAACGACAACGGTCGTTCGCACATGTCCTCCCTCTCATCATCCTCCTCCATCTCCGACGCCGAAACCGAACGTAGAGGTCGTTCAGAGAGACCTCGCATGGCCAGTCGGAAACCGAGTGCCTCAATACTAGTTCCACGGGATCATCCTGAAATCGAAATCGAGGAAGAAGAATTCCCCCCTGACGACGCACGCGCCATGAGTCCTCGACGCAACTCGGCTGATTTGGAGCGACTGGGCAAGGAAGCCAGGCAAACACTACAAGAGTGAGTAGTTGAATGACAATTTTCCCCGAAACCTCTGGCCAAGTGACGCCAGAGACAAAAAAAGAGGGAAGAAGCGATGCTAATGTGTTACGTGTTCACGGCAGACAAGCCAAGGCTCTCCAGTCGTCCCTTCAGGCGCTCGCCGAACGTATCGAAGCCGTCAAATCCGACCATGATAAGCTCGAAAGCGAGAACCGGTTCCTTCAAGACTACATCGGTGGATTAACCCGCAACATGACCAAGAGCGAAATGACAAGGAGTAGCACCAAGGTCAAAAAGTCGCAGAAATAGCTCCGACGCCGTATCATCATCCCGGCTATTCGATACAGATAAGCGGTCGGGAATTCGCTATCCTGGAGAAAGCGAACGATAAGATCAAATCTACGAAACCTCAACCTTCTATGCGATGACCTTCACGTCTCTATTCACCACATGAAGTTTCGGATTTGGTGGATGCCACACTTTTTCGCTACATACTGCAGGTGTCTCACATATGTTGGAATGGGGACGCTCTTGGCTGCCGCGCATACTTGAGCAGCAATACGACACGATTTATGCACGCGAAGATCCGCTTGGACTTACTGCTCTGTGTCTGGGATTCCGAAATGACATCTGCGGCTTCATCAGGTGGAACCTTGTGCAACGCTGAAGCCCCGAGGTGTGAGCTTTCGCAAATTGATCCCTTCCTTCGATTCGTTTTTTACCTCGCTACCGGACGGACTTGATATTGCAACTGGGACCTGGCGGTTGATCACAATGAACAACGCCCTACCTTCACCCCCAAGACGCTACACGTAATCTGCTGACGACCCTCGAGTTCTCTTCACCTATGGCCACCCACGTCAAAGCGCTCCGCGTGTGGTTGGAGATTCGCAGAGGGCTGCTGTGGTCGTGACATCATCCACACATGCCGGGGGTTACCAGGGAATTTGATCGACGCCTACCGTCTTGGCAGCGATTCGGTGCACGACTCAGACATACTCTTTTTGTGCTCTGGTCTTACCTTTCTTCTGTTCATATTCTGTTTTTTACCTTTTTCTCTTTTCTTTTCCCTTTATTCTTCCTTTCCTATCTGTCATATCATACCGGAGGCTTTGTGTATTGGCATAGCACGCGCGGCGTTGGGACACTTGACTGGGAACCGTTATTTAGACTTGTTGTGTTCATTTCATCACTTTCTGACATTTGGAACCGCACTGGGCGCATTTGTTTGCAAAGGTCTGCAAAAAGGCGGGAAAGCATTTTCACGGAGCAGCCAATCTTCATGTGGTTTACATCATCCTCATCCTCTCCCCATCCTTGTTTCATCGCCGCCTCTCCTCAACCTCCAATCTCATCCCTCCCCTGTCCTCCTTCCATCCTATCCCCACCGCCTCCTTGTCCATCGACATGTATATTGGAATCGTCCCGGACTGACGATTCAGATTCGACTTGGTTTGATTTTCGTTTGGCTCTGAAGACATTTGCTTACATACCCAGAAGCGAGCGGTTGATACATTAAATGAGAAACAAAATTGTGAAATCCGGTCTGTAGAATGCAAGTGTAGACTGATGTGCATCCATCTGTGACGACGAGAAGTACTTTGTCACAATGTATGGAATATGGAGCATGTGGTTTCAACTAGCCCCCATTCCCGCTATGTGATCACACCGCATTTTTGCTCCTTGACAGTTGACAGCTCGACACGTCAAGGGAGGATCCCTACTAAATCCACCCACACGGAGTCCTTCATCAAACCGGAACCCAGAAATTGACAAGACCCCGTTTCATACCTGTCAACTGGCACTCTTCATCAATACCGCTATCACATATACCGAATTAGTCAATCATCGTACGTTTTGTCTCTTCTTCTTATTCTCAACACGGCCCTACTTAAGTTGGACGATCCCTTTCCACGTCCCTTATCCGAGTAGTCTAGTCTCATAAAGTACGGAGTACGGAGTACTTCGGCGTATGCTAGATCGGTGGGGTTATCAGATAATTTTTTCTAATGTACTTTTTAGACTTCTTTTTTTTTTTTTTTTTTTTTTTTTTTTTTTTTTTTTTTTTTTTTTTTTTTTTTTTTTTCTTCCCTGTTGATCTTCTCTTAAAGTGCTCCGTTATTAGGGACTAATTAAGTGGGATTGTAGTCTTGTGTGGCTCGGTGACTTTCTGGATAATACTGATGATTGTGTGTGTGTGAGATATGCTAGGCAATGTTTAGAATGGAAAGGGAAGTACTTCTCTACTATCCTAATAAGATGTTATTTATTGAACCTCACTAATGAATAAAATTCAAAATACAATTCAGAATGATTATTAGTAGATGGATGGATACTTAAGGAAAACTTGTTTCAAATCAGAAGGATGATTGATGCAACTAAGTATCTCGCTTTGCTCTCGTCATACTAACTAGTTATAAGTATAATCAGGTAATTAAAGGCATGGATTATGGATAAAAATCTTTTGTAAATAAAAAATAATAATATCAAAAACTAATTATCATATTACTAGCCCTATTCATATAATCTAAAGAAAATCCCTGAAGTAGATCAAAGCATACATTACATACATACACACTCTATCCTTACTCCTTCTCAATTGTATGTTGTTAGTGTTACTGATGATTCTCTTGGTGTCATCACTCCTCTCTCCTTCTTCCTACGAGCCATAACTCACAACTTTATCCATGATTAAGTTCAATTCAATCACAACTCTAAATAATAGTATGAATCAGTAACAATCGCAACCATCATAGTCCCCATTACCTTACCTTACTTACCTGGTTAGCACCCCTAACTCCACCACCACCCAAGGTAAACAAACCTTCAATCGTATGATCAACTAACCGAATTATTACTCCATACTTAAAACTCTACGAAGTGCATACATAAGCAAAACCTATTTTCTACTTAGGATCAAGTAGTACTAAGTTCTTACATGCATATACATAATACATAATATCACCAAAAAGAAAAATAAAATGGGACTAAAAATTGTGATCTATAGATAGCTCTAACCTTACCAACTAGTCTACTACGGAGTAGCCTCATCGAAGTCAAACAAAGGGGGGGAAAGGAAGGAAGGAAGGAAGGAGAAACTTTACAAATGCTGCGTGCGTACTGCATTGTACTTTTGGTCGAGGGATAAAAGTATTTGGTTGGATGGTATGGTATGCATGTATGCATGTACGTTGTATGCAATTAAAGATCGAAATCCCGAGTATTACAGAAATACAGACTCCCGGAAGGGGAATCCGGAGTATCTGCGAGGGATGGATGGATGAATGCATGCATGCATGTCGGTTATTCATAGAATGGGTTCAGTCGGGGTTTGGTTCGTTGTTTGGTTTGTACTTCGTACTTCGTTCTCTTCCTGTATCAAGATTGGGTAAACTGACGTTCTGTGGGAAATTCCTACGAAACTGTCCACTGCTTGTTCATAAATTTCAAATTTCTTTAGCCACTGCCGGGCTTTAGATCTAAACTCAGCTAAGGCGACAAACAAACGCCGTACGTGGCACAAGGTGGGTAAAACCAAGAGAGTTCGGGAAGCAAGAGTCAACGTCCTGGTGGGACTTGACTGACTAGGGTGGAAGTGCGGGTGGATGACAAGGGAAAGGTATTCTTTGGGGGGGAATTGCGACAATAGGCAAAAATCGAAATCATCAAGATATGAAAGGAAGCCCCGCGACAATCGGAGGACATAAGAGACCAGACCGAGACCACTGGCGGCATCGAAGGAGGCCACCAAAAGGCCAACAGGGACAAAGAGGGCGACGAGAGATCCAAAGCATGACTCCAAAGTTCAAGACCTGTCAGCCAGTGAATGGCCAACCAAGCCCCATCCCTTCCGGGCTCGCCAGAGAGAACGAACCCCAAAGCGCGCAATGGTTTCATCATCCTCTTCCTACCCCGGGCCTTCTGAGTCTAAGATCCAGATTGTCGGCCGGCCGACCCTATCCAAGTCCGGACGCGAGTCCTTCGTCATCTTTATTTGATTTACTCGGCGGGCTTCTCGCCCTCAGCGGGGGCCTCCTCCTTCTTCTCGGCAGGAGCGCTCGCCTCGGCGGCGGGCTCGGCCTCGGACGAGGTCCACAGAGTCTACCGGCTGTTAGCATGATCCAAAACCACGAGTGCCACCACATCAACTTACCAGGTTGTCTCTGAGGAGCTGCATGATCAGGGTGGAGTCCTTGTAGCTCTCCTCGCTCAGGGTGTCGAGCTCTGCAATGTCCGTTAGCCTCCAGCTTGACAGTCCAGCACTAGCTTCCACACATACCAGCAATAGCATCGTCGAAAGCGAGCTTGGCCAGGTGGCAAGCCTGGTCGGGGGAGTTGAGGATCTCGTAGTAGAAGACGGAGAAGTTCAGGGCGAGACCGAGACGGATGGGGTGGGTGGGAGCAAGGTCGGTCTGGGCAACCTCAGTGGCGGCCTTGTAGGCCTCAAGGGAAGCATCGGCGGCACCCTTGCGACGGTCGCCGACGGCGAACTCGGCAAGGTAACGGTGGTAGTCACCCTTCCTATTAGACGGGGAGAAACACGTCAGTCATGGATCGCGATCGCATCGAGAGTGGGAACCGCGTGGGTCGCAACGCACATCTTGTGGTAGAAGACCTTGGACTCGCCGCTCTGGGCCGAGGGGATCAGGTGCTTGTCGAGAACCTCGAGGATATCATCGCAGATCTTGGCCAGCTCAGCCTCGATCTTCTGACGGTACTCCTTGATGAGGGAGACCTGGGACTCGTTGCCCTTGGACTCTTCTTTTTGTTCGATGGAAGTGACGATTCTCCAGGACGCACGACGGGCACCGATGACGTTCTTGTAGGCGACAGACAGGAGATTCCGCTCCTCGACGGTGAGCTCTACATCAGCGGAGGCAACGACCTTCATGTTCTCGACCATTTCTGTGTAACAGGAGGGGCCATGTTAGCATGAGGCGAGACTCGTAGCCGCGAAGTAGGCGGTCGGAAAACGAGAATGACGCACCTTCGTAGCGCTCAGCCTGCTCGGCGAGCTTGGCGAGGTAGACAGCATCTTCGTGACCCATTGTGAAAGATTATCTGAATGAGAGAAGAGATGTTAGTTGGGCAAGATCGCGAATAAATAGATTTCCGGATATAGAGTGCAGGCGACTGGGAAAAAGACGCCACAGTAGACCAGAATCGATAGTGCAGAGAAGCGAGGGGCAGGCAAGTCACAGGGCAAAAGTGAGGCTGTGAAGTCAAGTGGTGCAAGGAACACGGAAGCGATAACGCCTCCCCTCCTTTCCCTGATTTACCGGGAAATCCCCGTCATACGTATCAGGTCTCCCAGCATCATGAGGGCGGTTGAAGAAAGAAGAAAATATACATCATCTTTCCCAGCCATCATGACCCCTATTCATCTTGCAAATCCCCCAAGACCAGGATGCATTGCGACGATCGGGGGAAGGCTTGGTAATAGCGGGTGGTGATTCAGCCGGATCCTCCACTCAGCTAGCCGTGAACTGCCTGTCTGCGTTGCGTCCCAGAGCGCAGTCTAGACGGGCGGTTATGGAGGGGGGAAGGGAACGAGGAGAATCCCTCCTCACACCTTCTCAATCTCTCCAGCCAGACTCGACCATTCAGCGCGCGTAGCCATGTCCGGGATAAAGTCCTGGACATGCAGAGCCTCCAGCCGCCAACACCCCGCCAATTTGCGATCGGGATCGCGGCCAGAAAAGGAGGGGAAAGCGGCGGATGACGATGAAGGAGGGGATGGGCATTGGGTTTGTCTGGTACGCGGAAGAGAGGGGGGGAAAGGACACGGCAAGGAAAATGGAGAGAGAGAGAGGCATACCTGAGATAGAGCAACAGATAGGAAAAGAGATATTCTATAGTCTGACAAGGTAAAAAAGAGAGAGAGAGGTTAGAAGGGAATTGAAGGAAAGTAGAGTTGAATGGAGGAACAAAATTGGGGGTGGAAAGATTTGGGCTGGTCGAGTCCTGGTCTTTTTGTTTTCCTTTTTTAATTTAAGGAATGGGGGGGGTGGGAGTATGACTTAAGCAGGGGGAGGGGGGGGAAGTGTGGATGTGGATGTGGTGGATGTGGATGGAAAGGGAAAAGGGTAAAGTACGGACCAAGAGAGAGAAAGGACGAAAGATGAGTTAGTCAGAAGTGACCGAGGAGAGATGGTGTGGCAGTAAAATAGTAGGAGAGAGAGAGGAAGAGAGAGAGAGAGGATGGGAGAGAGAAAGTTGCAGGATTGGCAGTAGTTAGAGGGAAGTTAGTTAGGCGGGAAAGAGGGGAAGAGAGAAAGAGAAGGAGGAGAAGGAAGAGAAGGGGAGGGAGGAGGGGAGACTGAGAAGAGGGAAATTGGGAATTGGGAATTGATGGCCTGCCCGGAAGGGGGTGGGATTCGTCCAGAAAGGAGACTGACTGACAGACGGAGTTGGCGGTCACTGGCCAGGAATCCTCAAGGCAAGCAGCATCATCATCTCTAGTAAGTAGTCGACTACTTCTCTCCCTCTCTCCCTGACTCTCTCTCTCTCTCTCTCTCCCTAACTAATAATCATACTATGAATGCTTCTAGGTTGTGCCTCCCCATACTTTCTCACTACTAATTCAACCTTCCCCCCTCCTAAAGTCAGTTAACCCATATGGCCAGCCCATGATGGAGTCGGGCTTCCACAAACACTCACCAACCAACATCATCTTTCCCCGATCCCGGGCCCGACTATTCTACGACTGACGATTATTGCTACTAATAATACCAAGAAATCACAGGAATTATTGACCCTCTCCAGTGGGTTTCCTCCTCTGTGACGGGGGTGGAGGGAGGAGACAGCTTTCACGGGGTAGAGACGCAGAGAATCCGAAAGAATCCCGGCGGTCATTCTTCTGGCCTGCCTTGTCTGTGAGCTACGTACACTGACTGTGCCTATCCCAGAAACTTGCACATCATGGCTGTCTTCTATGATGCCACCCCATCCAATCGACATACCTTGAGAACGTAGACAGGAAAAGAAGAAGACCCTTGTTACATACAGTGGTATCAGTAGTTGATCGTTAAATTAGTAGCCCATCCTAGCCCTTTCCCATCCATCTATCCAACCCAGGAATAAGATTGGTCTCCTGAATTCCCGAGTCTTGACGCCCATCTCTTTCTCTGCGCCTCTCTCTCTCTCTCTCACTCACTCTCACTGTTCCCTCCTCATTCTGTCGGGTCTGGCTTTGTGTGGTTCGGTGGGCCCTTCCAGCGTCATCCCTATTTCACATCCGCCAATCGTCCCGCCCACCACTGAGATCCCAGACCGTCGCCGAACCAGATGGATTGGCAGCGGATCATCATTGGAAGGGGGTTGATAAGTCGCTAACCGTCGGATGACGCTCGGGACCAATCTATCTATATTCTCTATCTACTTCTAGTAGTCTAATTAGTGATTATTGATTGATGAATTGATTGAACTGGGTCAAGGGATTCCTTCTGGAACTTCGGGGAATATTACTGTGGAATGATGGCGCAGAACTATTTATTAGGAGGCGATCCTATAATCCGCATCATCGTCATTCAGGGATTTGCAACTGAGATGCTTTCTTTTGCTAACGTCCTTTGACACTGACGAGATTCTCTACAGAGTAGAAATTAGATCAACACAACTTCTAGGACTTGACAGCCAATAACGCAGTATGGAATAATATATCATGGATGGTTCAACATTAATGCGTAGTCACAAAGTAAACTTCCAAGTTCCATCTCAACATCCCCAACACCGCCCCCATAAATCATACCAAATTAGGCTACCATCCCATCCCGTCACTTGACACTCACCTGACCAGACCACCCGCTGACTCACCTCACCCTCTGCATACATCACATGATCCCCTCCATGATCCCACCCCGGCAACCAACATCGACGTCATCCGTGCCGGTCTCGACACCTTAGGTAATCCTAGCCTGCCAACCCGGTTGCATTAATGACTTACTTCCACTTAAGTACCTGACAGTCTTACCTATCACCTCCTCATTGAAACCTTCCATCCATCCAAACGAATTCTGACAACCACCTGACCTTTCATCCATAACCTACCTACCTTATTATCCATCCATCTTTCACCCCCCTCCCAAAAGCAAAACTATAACCATAACCATAACCATGCTCCGCCAATCCATCACCAAGTCCTCTACTACCCGCCTCCTCACCACCACCACTACTCGTTCCTTCTCTGCTCTCGCTCCCAGAATGGGTGCTGGCGATACCGGTGCTCCCCGGCCGGGCGGTTCTCAGCATGCGTACGTTTCATACTTTCTACATACTTCCATCAATACCTACTGTTCTATGCAGTAGGGGAAGCATATGACATCATCATCATCATGATGACCAGTGGCTAACGCTAGTTGATTGAAACAGTGACTCGTTCACCAAGCGCGAAGCCGCCCAGGAGAACTTGTATGTTCGCGAGAAGGAGATGGAGAAGTGCGTATACCTATCCCTATTCCCTCTCCCAACCTGTTCTTCTTTGTTTGCTGTAAAAAAGGAAAGAAGCTAATATGATCTGTGATTTGGTATAGGCTCCGTGCCCTGAAGGCCAAGCTCAGCGAGCAGCGCAAGCACCTTGATGAGCTGGATAAGCACATGTACGTTGACATGCTACCCTTCTTTTAGATATAATGCTGTGCTTGAGTGGATGGCTAACAATTGTATGAATAGTGACGAGTTCACCAAGAACCAGGGCGGCGAGCAGAACTAGATGACTAATCTCTTTCTCTTTCTCTACTTGTGTTTCCTATCATATGGATGATGTGATGATTCCTACATACCTACCTACACCTGCCTATTAACTCTACTCTACTATCTTCGGAATACCGAGCGAAATCGAATCGATCAACCACAAGTCGGATCCTTCCATATATCTATCACCATGGGTGCATATCTTGTGTCTACCTACATACCTACCTACGCAAACATATAATCTCTCCTCTCTACACTCTACAATACTTTACATAGCATAGCCGGATTATCCACAAACAGACACACATTCATGGCGATTATCATTATTCCCGTTTCATCTCATTTCATTTGTATTGATTGCATTGCATTGCAAGACTCCAGCAACAGCAACAGCAGCATGAAACGACAACGACAACAGTAAAAAGAATAAGACGTAGAAAAAAAAAAAGACTTAACAACCAATCCTTGTTAATAAGAAAAACCATCCCGTAACCGTTGTTTACAGAAAACCAATCCACACTCCCTGCATCTCCTCTACCGACGTCCCATGTAAGAGCGATAGAAATCATCTGCGGCACTACCGCCCACACTAGAGCTACCCAGACCATACCCGAACCGCGAAGAGAGGGACTGGCCGGCCTTCTGTGCGGCGTCGACCTTGGCCTGGAGCTCCGTGGTGCCTTGGTCGATGACCTGCAGTTGCGCGAGGTGGGAGTTGAGGATGCGGACGATTTGCGAGATCTATTCATGGTATACATTAGCACAAGCATTAAGGATCTTGGGGGAGAAGGGGATACGTACCGGCTCGTCAGCCTTGTTCGTCTTGCTGAGAGTCGAGGACGCGCCGTTGACTTCCTCAATCATGCTTGTCAGATCCTTGCCCATTTCGTCCAGGCGCTCGGAGAGCTTCTCAGCCATTTTGTATCTGTTTTAGTTTTCCTGTTAGCATATAGAGAAATTAGAGGATAATTGTTGAATGGGAATAACGTACGTCCGTTCACGCTCCTGGTCAGGTCCCTGGAGAGTTTCACCCGGTCCGACTTGCTTGGAAATCATCTCGTCCACTTCACGCTCATACCGGTCGAGCCAGGAGCTGAGCTCTTCCTGCTGGCCCTCGACGGACGCCAGCTGACGCTCGACTTCTTGAGTCGCGCGCTCAGCGTCCACCGTGCTGCCGTACAGTTTCTGCACCTTGGTGCCGTTCTCAACCAGCATCCGATCCCATTCTGCTACCTTCTCGGCTTGCTCGCGGAAGTCCTTCTGGTACTTTGTCAGATCAGTCGCCCACCGGGTGATGATCTCATCCATGGTCTTGTTCTTCAGGCGGGACTGCGCCGGAGGAGTCGGTCCAGCAGTCGAGGCACCAAGGCCAATTCCGCCAGTGGCGGTGGTTGTGCCGGTTGCGCCTGCTGTACCGGTGGTAGCTGAAGAGGTGGCGCCAGAGGTAGCGGTCAGGGTGGGCTTGTCGCCAGCCGTCGTAGCAGAGGCTCCAGCAGCAGTGCTGGCTGGCTGTGTGGACGGGGTGGTCTCCGCGGGCTTACCGAACAGGCCGCCGGTGGCTGCCGCAGGTTGTGTCGCGGGAGCTGCGGTAGCTGTAGTGGCGGGAGCGGTGGTTGCTGTGGACTTAGCGCCACCGAGGGCACCGCCAAACAAGCCTCCAGAGGGAGCGGGTGTTGATGATGGAGTCGCGGACGAGGACGCTCCACCTAGGGCTGGGAAAAGAGAGGAGGTCTGTGGCGCAGCGGACGAGGCAGCTGGCGTCGTAGAGGTTTGAGGGGTCGAGGACGGAGTGCCCAGAGAGGGGAAGACTGGCTTGGTGGCATCAGCTCCAGACGCTGGGGCTTTGAAGAGAGAAGATGTCTGCGCACCAGCTCCTCCTCCTGCGGCCGGGGTTGTCGTCGTTGACGGTGCCCCCGGTGCCTTTCCAAAGAGGGTGTTTGGAGTGCTGTCATTGGTGCTTGGTGCGGCCGGTTTGGCGTTTCCGAACAGGCTATTTCCCGTAGAAGGCGCCGGATTTGTACCAAAGAGGGGTTTCTGCGCTGTGTTCGCCCCACCGAAGAGACCCCCAGTTGATGGCTGTTGCGTAGTGTTGGAGGTAGAGGTTGTGGTGTTTGTGTTGGCGTTTCCGAACAGCGACGGGGTAGTGGTGGCGGGGGCTGTAGCGGTAGTAGACGACGGGGCAGCCGATGAGGTGGTCGAGGTAGTCGAGGTGGTCGAGTTCACGTTTCCGAAGAGACCGCCAGGCTTTTGTGCTGCCTGTCCAAAGAGTGTCTGCGTCTGGCCAGTCGCGCCCTGCGGAGGAGGACCAGCGGGAGTTGTGGACGAGGCATTGCCGAACAAAGAACCTCCTGTCTGACCGGGCGTAGAAGTAGCATTGCCAAAGAGGCCCCCTGCAGGCTTTGCGGCATTTCCAAAGAGTCCGCTCGTAGCTGTCTGCCCTGAGCTACCAGCTTCGGTCGACTTGTTGGGAGTCTGTGATGCGTTGCCGAACAACGGTGTCTGACTGGTGGCCCCCGGCTTGCTCTGAGCTCCGAAACTGAAAGGCGACGAAGTACCAGTACCCGCTCCAGTTCCACTGCCAGCTGCGCCCCCGAACAAAGAAGGCGAAGAAGTGCCGCTCGTCGGAGCACCTACGTTTCCAAAGAGTGTGCCCGAGCTAGCGCTAGAGCCAGTGTTCGTGGCACCAGATCCAAAAAGACCCCCCTTGTTCGCGCCGCCAGGGGCCGAGTCGAAAGAAAAGAGGTTGGACATGGTGTTGGGTGGATAGCAACGGGGATTAACAGGGCTGCCCTGGAGGTGGGAAAAAAAGACAAAACAGTCAGTCGGGACGGGTTTCGAGATGAGCTGAAGGTGAGAGCGAACCAACACTTACTGCGCCCGGAGATAAGATGCCCTATGAAGACAGGAAAGTCAATTCGGGCTGAGTGTCAAAGTCGCGCCTTGCTCGTCCAAACACAGGCAGAGACAATCGACAGTGGATGTCTTGAACTATGAATTGGAGGTCGATTGATCTTCTTTGCTGGGCCGCGCTTGTCGCGGCTGGCGGCTAGTTTTATGCCTCAGGCATTACTGTACGTATCATAGCAGACTGCCTTGGTGCCTTAGTGCCTCGGATGATGTCGCCTGAGCCTCTTGGTGCCTCAGGCCACGTTCGAGACTCACATCGAACCCGACGATCAGAAGGACAGCATCGTCCCCCCGTTTCATATCCATTCTCCCCTGGCTTTTCGGGCTCAGACTCTTACACGAGCATCTGCGTCCTTGTCTGCATGATATACAATTCCCAATATTGATTGCTCCTGATGTCCGAACGGATTTCCCGTCCGTCCAGTCCCTACTTGGAGCCCCCGAGGAAGAGCGTCGAGTTGGAAGACCCGGGGGCTCAGGATTCCGGTAAGCAGCACAGTCTAGCAGTGGGAATCCAATGGTTCGGAATTAACGTCTCATCTACAGCTACGAACAGTGACGACGAACATTTTTCAGACGCCAGCGAGGGCCACCAACGCCCTGAATCCCACCCGCCGTCCGGCCGAGCTTCCCCTATCCCCTTAACCCGTGTGGAGAAGGTCGACGAGGAACCCTCGCATGGGGAGGTGCCTGGGACTGCTGCGTACGAAATAAGGGACCAGGATGCCGTTCCCGACCAGATTGAAGTTATCCCGGAGGGTTCACGCAGCCGAAGCGCTTCAGCGAGCGGCGAACGGCCTGTGACTCCGACATCAATTCCGCGGACAGTGGTTGAGAAAGTCGACTTAGACCAACCCAGTCATGGCGATATTCCCGGCACCCCAGCGTATGAGAAAAGAAAGGCAGATGCGGTACCCGATGTGGTGAAGAAGGCGTCGGATTCAGATTCAGACGAACCGTCCCCTATACCGGGGTCCTTCGAGGCCAGTGCGGCCGAGACACCTGTTCCCGAAACGCTGCTCTCCCGCGTGGAATCCAACGAGGACGATGTCACAGAAGAAGGTCCTGTTGCTCATCAGCCAAAGCCGATTGATCCGGAGCCAGACCACACCGAGACCGTCCCCGATGCACCAGGTAAGCCGGATTTCGGTTGAATTACGACATAAGTTTCAGGGACGATTGACCAATTCAGATTCGCCTGCAAGCCATCGAAGTCACACCCGCCGAGGATCGTCAGTAAACGACGCCGCAGCCGTCGACCCGGCCGGTGCAGACGAGTTTGACGATTTCGCCGAGGAGCAGGAAGACGACGACTTTGGAGACTTTGACGACTTCGACGATGGCTTCCAAGAGCCTATGGAGGCTGTCGAGGATGAACCAGCAGAAATACAGCCCTCGCAGTCTCCCACACCTCCTTCAGTTGTATGCACACCCTCAAATATCAGTATACAGCGTAAGAAATGCTAAACCGTTTCCAGCCACCCCTCCTCGACCTTGACGCCATTCCCTCCCTTGCAGACCTTCACACCACCCTCTCCGACCCCCTCGACCGCCTCTTCCCCAGCACCAAAGACACCGTCAGCCTGCAACCCCTTGACCCGATCCCCAACCCCACCGCCATCTTCAGCACCGAGCGCTCCCTCTCCCTTTGGTCTCAGCTCGTAGCCCCTCCCCCACTCCAGCCCCAAAACTGGGTGAAATCCCGCATCCGGCGACTCTTCCTCGTCTCACTTGGCGTGCCCGTCGACCTCGACGAGATTCTCCCAGCCTCTAAGCAAAAGAAACTCATCCTCCCCTCTGTCAACCTCGACGACACACGTCGCTCCTCCACCCCACCAATCGCACACTCTCGCTCCCAAAGCCTAGCAGCCAAGCGCGACAGCACACAAAGCGGCCCCGGCAGCCCAGGCCCCAACCAACAATCTCGAACCCGAACTTCTCGCCGAAGAGAACCCTCCCCACCACCCGAATTGGATCTCCCGGCCGTACACCGCCTGTGCGCAACCACAGACGCAGCTCTAGACGGCCTAACGGACAAAGAACTCCGCGGACATGTCCAGGAACTCGAGTCAGCAACTTTACGCGCAAGCTCCGTACTAGAGTACTGGTTGAAACGATTGGACGGGCTCATCAGTGAAAAGGAGGCGTTTGAAGGCGTCATAGAAAATTTGGTAAGCCATGCTAGACGAGTCCGGAAGTGAGTGGGTGTTCTTCTTATATTATACATTCCTCTCATTTCTATGCTGGCTGGCATGATCTCGACTGTTATTGTGATGATTGTGCGATGTGATGTGATGTCTTGTGATGAGATGTTGATAGATCGATTATAAATATGACTATTAATTTAATGATTATACATATGCTACTTTCACTGTCTACTTTTCGGTAATACATATGCTACTAGTAGTATAGATTGTACTATCATGTGTGGTTCGATAGCAGTACGGTCAAGCCAGTGTTAGAGTATCTTGTTGATTCTACTGTCACGGTGGTGCTGCGAGCGGTGGAGTCGCTTTCCTGACACAATCATAAATACTACTAGTAGTAATTTATATAAATCAGTGATGTTTCTTACTATCAGTGTAACTGGGGCATGGAGCAATGCAGGCCTATAAATACTTATTGTCATACCACTGAGTCGATTGGTAGAACTGTTGATACTAGTACGGTACTACTGGTAAGCTATATATATGTACTACTCGGTCGTACCGGAAGGACTAGGTAAGACTCAACACCTCTAGACTAAAACCCTCATATCATCTACAATGTTTGTTACTACCTAAAAATTTGAACAAGGTCATTGATAACCAGCATCATTTCGAATTGCTTTTGAAGTAGTATGCACAGAAAGAACGTAAATCGAACAACAACACACCGGGTCCCCGCCTCTAGGTACAACGCCCCAGATCAAACCTCCCATGGTATGACAACTTGTTGAAAGAATCAGAAAAGCCAAGCACAGAAGCTTAGAAGACGAAGACCGGAAACTATCTAGGTACAATTCGTGCAAACGAAAAATGGGTATCTCATATAGGACTCAACGCCAGGAAATAGCGTTGTGGAGAAAGGAAAAACAACAGTGGTGCTAAAAGGCTAGGAGAATGGCCAAAGAACCATGAGAAGAAGAAGTAGGAAGAAAGAAACGATGCTGGTATCAATTTGGCAAGAAGCAATTTTGTTTTTGGTCCTCAGGGAGACAAGCATGCAGGCGCACGCTAATCCAACGCGATCACCTTTGGCTCGGAAACTCGGATGAGATTGTCGGATGTCGTGCGCTCGCATTTGGGCCTTTGCGACGCAGGAGATATAGACGCCACTGAATCACTGGATTTGCGCTTCGGGGGTACAGACGTAGGAGCGGTGGCACTCCCGGAGGTCTGTTCCGTGGATGAAACGGTGTCTGACTTCAATGTCCACGATCCATCCCTTTTGACGCGGATTGAGCGCGCATTCTCTAGCTGGTTCGTATGGGATAGCTCTTCGCGAATATTGAAGAGAAACCCATCAATCACTAGCATCTGAGGGCGCGCATCTTGTTTGCAAATAGGGCATTTCCAGTCTTCTCGGAGGGTACGTCGCCCCGACTTCAAAGCACGGGTGGTGATGTAGGTCTCATGATCGAAGCACTCCTGGTGGGTGCACAAGCGACCGCGAACAGGCCGGTTGAAGACACGAGCAGTGAAGGGGTCGACGAGATCAATGACCAAGTCCTCACTCACGATGCTGACTTCATCGTCGGGGTTGGATGTGAGCCGCTTTTGGATCTGCTGCAGAGACTCCGAGGCGGGAAGGATCTGCGCCGCGTCCAAGGCCGACACCAGGTCAGAGACATTGAGAATCTCGACGCCCGCGGCATATAGCTGATCTCTCATCTCGGCCGGGCTGCGAAGGAAGTGCATGGAGACGGTATTGGGACCCTCATGCAGTTGCTCCGTGATTTCGAGGGGTATATCTTTGCCGTTGTGTTGGCGACGCCGGGCGAAAAGCTCCACCTCGTTGACAAAGATGTAAACCACGCTGGGCCAGCATGTCTCGGTGGTGCACCAGGTGTGGTCGTCTATAGTCTTTGTTGACGGGTTGATTCGAATACATCGCAAACGAAAGATTTGCTGGCCGTTTGTAATGAACCGGGTCGTTTGCAATTTACCACCATGTTGCTCAATCTTCGCAAGTCGTTCGACGTCCGACTTGGTCAAACTGAACGTCCAGTCGAAGCGGCAGTCCCACTGGCCCTGACCCAGCGGGGTTGGCTTGGCGGCGAAGGACTCAAAGTATTGATAAAGCGGGGTCTCTTGCGGGCCGGCAGGAGTCTGAGTGATGAGTCGATTGACAGGACCACGCATATGGGCTTGATGCAACCCGTCCCGCAGCGAATGAGGTCGTGGGTTTGGCGGCGGAAGTGAACCTGGCGGAGGCAAAAGCGGAGTGATCATTGACGTGGGAGAAGGAAGAGGAGCCCCCTGGTTTGACATGCTTGCCTGTGGCATCAGCCTGTACTGCGTCGGGGTCTGGTTATTCGCCGGCGCGGACCGTGAGGGACGGCCACGTCGTCGTTGTACAGGGGCCGGACCTAAAGCCGAAGCTGGAGTAGCAGGCGAAGCGAGAGTAGGAGCGGAAGCAGGGGTATGCGAAAGAGGGGACAGACCAGGAGTAGCCGTTGTTGAGGGGACTACTCCTGTCGGTACGCTGGCGGGGTGTGGCGACGTTGTTTGTGAGGGAAGTAACAATGTCTGTGGGTGGACCGAGCCTTGCGGACGAGTATTTACCGGGCTTGGGTGAATAGTCTGCGTTTGCGAAGGCACCACCTGTGGTGGGTAACTCATCGGAGGAGGATTATGGTGGTGATATAACGGATGGTGATGAGGCATCTGAACCGTACGCGGAGAATGCGGGTTGTATGTCTGCGAGGGATATGCAATTGGGGCAGGAACAGGTCCGGTTCCGGGAATCGAGACGTGAGAGCTCACCCTCGGCTCATATCCGGGCACACTTGATGCTGGATGCTGAGGGAAATGAGGGGGTGCGCCTTGGGGGGACCCCACCGGTTGCGAGTGAATGTGAGGCTGGTTTGCAGTGGTCGCCCGGGGCGTGGATGTGAGTTCTTTGTGATACATGGAGAGAATGATGTCCCTCTCCTTTTTGGCGCGCATTGCCGACACTGGCTTGGGAGAGTCCAAACGCTCATCTGTGTATTTGGCGTCTCGATTGAAGATCTCAAAGAGCTTGTGCTCCCCATTCTGCAGAGGAAGTCGTCGATACAGTGCCAGGAAGATGTTGTATTGCGTGACATGTGATCGGATGTCGAAAGTCATGATGATTTCCTCGATCAGTGGGGGTAGGCCACGCCTGCGCGTGGCTTGCTCAAAGCTGTCCCACCTTTGAGAGAGGAGGACCAAGGAGTTCATGACCTGCTCTAAAGCATCCCGCCACCAAGGAAGAGCAAGCAGCTGTTGCATTGGTTCCGGGAAATTCACACAGAACAGCAGGAAATCTCCGGAGAGCCGACGGTTATCCACCAGGAGCTGCTTGACTACGGCAAACCCTCTCTCCTGCTCCGGACCGAAGCCTGGCAATGTGCGCAATTCCGAGGGAGCATAGGATGCCATGCAATACATCTGGTGCAGAGCCAGGTAGACGGGGTCATTGTCCAGTAGGGCGCTCTGCAGCAGGCGAACCCGCGGAGACTCAATGACCTCGGAGATTATCTTGTTGCGAGTCGCTTCAGCCGCAAAAGTGTCCAGCTTCTCCAGCCACTGTTTGCACAGCGTCCGGTCTATTGGCAACATAGGGACCGGTCGTACAACAAGTGGTTGCTGAAATCCCTGAGGCACCGGCGATGCTGGTATGCCTATCCAGGAGGCCGCTTGAGGGCGCGCCGAAGGATCGCCAGGTCCCGGCAGTTGTGATCGTGGTTCGGCATTGCCAGCTGTTTGCGACTGATCTCTGGGAATTACGGTGGCCCCTTGAACTGGCTCCGGAAGGATGACGGTATTGGCTACTGTTGCAGGTGTCGGTAGTCCTCTGGTCTGTGGTTCATGTGGCCGATTAATAGACACTGGTGGGGTGTCTCGCGTTGGAGGGGAAGGCAGAGTTGCTAGGGAAGAACCAAGGCCAACCGGTCCTCCATGCCGATCAATGGCACTGACCGGGCTGGCATGCGAACGTGGAAGGGTGGGATCGGGTGACGGAAGCGCGGTGGGCTGAAAAGCGCGTGGGGGGATAGCAGTCGCTGGTGTCGGCGTCCCTGATGTTAATGGAGTCGATGAGGAGAATGCGGTGGTGATACTGCGAAGCGGGGGTAGGATTGGGGCACCGCGATTTGGCTGAGCTTCCTTCTCATTCCTCCCATCTGACCCGGAATTGGCCTGAAGAGGATCAGGTTGAGCCATCGGACCGAGGGGAGGAAGAGGAGAAGGGTTCGCGGCGGCGGCGGAGGTAATGGTGGAGGAGGAGGGCGACGATGAGGCGGCGGTGGAGGTGGAGGTGGAGGTGGCCGTAGTAGTAATGAGGCCGACGGGCGGCTCACGAGGAGGCGTTTCCCGCCGACGCGTCTGCGGTGGACTCCCAGCTGGGGCCCCCGAAGCAGCCGACGCTGCCGTAGAAGCCGTACCCTCCGTTGCAGCAGTCGCAGCAGTCGCAGCAGCAGCAGTATCGGTCGTAGAAGTAGGGGAAGGAGATGTCGAGGTGGTGGAAGAGAAATGGGGAGGTTGAGAAGCGGTGGCAGCTGCACCACCACGCATCCAGGATCGTTGCACGCCTCCTAGAAATAGATGGGCAGTTGAATTGCTTGACTTGAAGCCAAGATTTGCGGGATCGCCGCGGCGATTACCGGGCGGAATCATCCTGACATTTTCCGGGGAAGAAGGCAGGATGGAAAGGTAATTTGTGGGGTGGAGGACTTGTTGAGAGAAGAAAAGCTAAAAAAGAATGGAAGTGTCCTGGCGCCGATAATGCAAACGAAGCGTATCGAAGAACCTCCTCTTCTCCGATGAGGCGCGCCAGCCAGCATCGACTCGAAAGGAATTCCACTTGAATTGGGAAGAGATGCCGCTGGGTCGGGGAGGGTAGGATGCCTCGGGGAGAGAAAGTATGCGGATGTACAGCTGAGATATAGATGATAGATGTATACAAAGCAGTGAATAAGATAAAATTCTACCGTACTTACTGCAATGGCTGCATTGGACTTTAGTTGGGACAAAAGTACGGCGACATGATCTACCCGTGTACTTTGAGCTGCGTGGAGGGGTGAGGAGAAGGAATGCCTACTTATCTCAAGTCGAAATAGGTTTACATATGACTATGCTGATGAGAAGTATACAGATTGATGGGCAGCGATGGGAAGCGATGGGAAGCAATCGCGACACACAAAGTACTGGGGACGAATGACAATCCCACAAGCAAGGTTATCCCAGTGCATGGTTGATGATGCGATGGGGGAAGATCCTGGAATCCAGCTTGGCTTACAGATGCAGGCATGAGCACGTATGAGCATGAATATGGGCATGAATGAATGGGTGAATGCCGAGGGCAAGAGGGACTGTGAGTGTGTGATTGAGCAAGGTTTTTGGGGATAGTAGGAGCGTGATCTGGTCTCTGGTTTTAGGGCAGCAGCAGCCATGCAGGCCAGCATGCCATCGAATCATGGATTGACGTATGGAACTGGAAGAGAAGAGTCATTCCTGATCCGAATCAAGTGGAGAGTGTATCGACTAGTCTATCGTACTAGTAGTAAAGGGAAGTCGTACAAAGATGTAGTAGAGAAATACATCAGACCCCGAGAAGATGGAATTCCTGCGATCGACCTGTCTGCCTGTTTGTTTATAAATAGGCAATGGACTGGCGCTGAATGCGATGCATCGACTCGTTGGCCATCCGGATGCGTGACTGATCCGAGCATTGGAATGTCGATCCTGCAGGGGAGGCCATGAGAACTAAAACATGTTCGCTCGGTGGGTAGTGTTTTGTCTTTTCTTTTTCTTATTCCTGGGTAGTGGTCGTAACTAATTAATTAGTAAGTCAGTAGATGAATCAAGAGAGAGTGTGTGAGTGAGAGAGAGAATTGCTGCCCTTGGGAACCATCTTCTCCCAACTGCTCCATACTGTGTAGTATACAGTACAGATCACTACTAGTTAGTTGTTGGAGCAAGAAGTAAGAAGAGTACCTAGCAATTACCCAAGACTCCATAGTGTAGACCATAGAAAGTAGGAGTAGCTGGCAAGTAGCCTGTCAATAAGGCGAAACTCAACCTGACCGGGCAATGGCCTCACTTTCTCTCCGGATGAAGGGGCTGCCAGTTGTCGGAATGAATCCGTTGGCTCCAGTTAAGACAGCGAACAAGTCAGCACATGCCACTCATAGTCTGTTTCATACTTCTTGGTCTGTGGTGAGTGCCAGTGAAAATGTTGTTGTGCCTGATGGGGATGGAAGAAGGATGATGCTGCTCATGAATTTGAAAAGCAGTAGTAGGTATAATAATGTTCTGGTTCTGGTTCTGCCCAAACCGGTAACGATTTGATATTTATTTGGTTGTCCGTATCCCCCGCTTCCATGGTTTGCTTTGCATCGAGACTTTTCTCTGTCTCTTCTCCCTTTTCCCTTCAACTCATTACTCTGCAACTCTTTTCTTCCCCTTCTCTTCTTACTTCATTTCATCTCTATCCTGTCTCTTTTCCTCTCTTTCTCCGTCTCTCAGACACATCAACAACCTGCCCAAAAACTGATCCACCTCAAAACTAGCCGCCCTTGTTAGCGCCTGCACGTCTGCGGCCGTGATCTGATTTGCTTTGCGGGTTGCAGTTCAGACCGGCGGGGATCGTCGCTGTCTTATTATCGGCTTCACCTGCTGCGGTTGTCCATCCTCGCCTACTTACTCTTCTGTGCTCTCGTCTCCCTTCCCTCAGCCTTCTTCGTCGTCTTCTACACGTCAGACCGCGAATCGCCCTGCCAAAGCCTGCTTCGCGGCACTGCATCAACCCTCACCGAAGAAGCTCTGGCCATCTCCATTTAACCCTTCGACCCTCGTCGACGGAAGCTTTGTTCAACATAACCTCCTCCTCCTACTATCCACCTATCCACCTCTATCCACCCACTAGTTATCTACTTCTCCTCCTTCCACTTCCATCGATTAGCTAAACCCGGACCCATCATCTGTTCTTCCCTCTTTACCTTCTCCATCTTCGCTTCGCCGCGAGCCAGATTCCTTTCCACCCTTCCCCCGTCAATCTTTAACTTCGTCTAGTCACATTCCTCTCACCAACCTCCATTCTCTGGACTTGGATCGCCTCCCCTTCTTTTCCTTCCCCAAATCTGCTTTTTTAAATTACCCGGGAGGGCGGCTTGCCCCATGTCCGGCGCAATTCCTCCCCTCCCATCTGTGTTGTCGCTCTCTGGGTTGCTTCCCCCCACTTGGGCGCTTTAACCGGCCTCCCTTTCGTCATTCCCCCCTTCCGTCACATCCTCGCTTCCAATTTCTCGCGACTCTCGATACAGCCTGAGGATACACAATGGCTCTCACAACACCTCCTCGTGGGGTAACGCCTGGCGACCTTCTTCTCGTCGTTCGTAAGTAGCAATTTCTTGCTTCCTACCTCGGTCGCTGTGTGCGACCCCCGCCCTGTCTATCCTCAATTGGGTTGGTTTGCTAACCATTGTGTCAGATGATTTCGATGCGCGGGGCCCTGATGAGCTCACCCTGCGCCGCGGAGAGAAAATTGAGCTCGTGGAGCTGGATGATGGGTTTGGAGATGGGTGGTATCTAGGCAAGGATTTGAGTACGGGCTCAACTGGTCTTTTCCCAGGAGGTATGAAACTTGAGAGCGCTTATAATTTGCAAAGACCGCATTTGACTGACTGGGGACTTCCGTTTCTGCTCCAGTTTACACCACTACTGCCCCGAGGATTCCCACCAGACAGCGGCTAGATGCCGATGGCACGACCACACTGGCCTCAGAGGTCGGGACGGATTCCGAATCGAGCCAGTTGGAAACCACAGACTCCCTCTCATTTCCCCAGAGCGGCGAATCCACCCCGCATGTTTCTCGCCATACCAGTGCCTCGGACCTGCGGGCTCCAGAGTTGCAAGGGGGTCCCGTCGCCCCAGCTTTTTCTCCGAAACAGCAGAACCGCTCCAGTTCCTCTCCGCTACCAACCTCCACTATGAGCATCGATATTCAACAGTCAATTCGGCAGACCATGGACGGCCACCATGCCAATGGCCAAGACAGCCCCGTCATGAACGAGACGCTCAGCGTTATCGACGAGCACATCACCGACCTGAGCACGCCGCGCCATAGTGTGGCCGGTCAGGAATCCAAGCACATGAACGACTCGGCCAGCGAGTACAGCAGCCACTTCGAGCACCGGATGTCGTACATCAATGGGCACGAAACCGATGAGGAAGAAGAGAACCAGCCGCGTGAAGAGCAGGTCCGGCAGTGGACGCCTGCAGAAACCGCTAAGCAGTTGCGGCAATGGGGTGTCGAGGACAAGCACTGTGGCATCTTCGAGGATCAGGAGATCACCGGCGATGTGTTACTGGACATGAACCAGGACTTTATCTTCATGAAGGAGTTTGATTTTGGCGTCATGGGGAGGCGTTTGAAGACCTGGCACAAGATTCGAGCATTCCAGGACGAAATCAAGGGCGTCAACCCATCATCTCAACACCACCCTCGCGGTTCGGTAGCTGCTGTTCCCGCTCCGCCAGAGGAACGAACACTCAGTCGCGCCAGCCATACGGGCCCGCTCCTGCCCAGGATCCCGACGCTGCGAGGGTCGAGCGGCACCCAGCACCCCCGCCTGGTCAGCAGTAGTATGCAGAGCAACACCAGCTCGCCCATCACGCCGCAGACACCCAACTATGTGAACCATTCTCGCCGACCGTCCGCCGCTTCCATCCGCGAGATCAACCACTCCCGACGCCACTCATCCATCGACACGACGAACCGGTACTCGGGTGCCCTTGAAGGTTCGCCAGGCATCAACAAGCGCAGTTCGTTTGATCGCGGTTGGACTTTGGCCACCGGCGCTCAGCGGCTGCCTCCTCGCCCTGGAACTGCAGCCGGCACGTCTCACCCTCAGGACATGGGTTTCTTTTCCCAGCTGAGTCACCGCCCCTCAAACTCAAACGGGTCTGATCCAGCTGTCTCCGTGACCGATGAATTGGACCGGGGCTACTTCTCTGGGCCCGAGGGGGACATGCGCAAGAACCGGCGCCTACAGAAACGCCAATCTGCTGCAGGCAGTGCGGACTCGCGGTCATCGAACTTGACGAATGACCAGCTCCGCGTTGGCAAGCGCCATTCGCGCATTGGCAGCATGGACTCTATTCGGGAGTCTGTCAAGCAGATGAACCCTCCAGCCAAATCGCACACCAGTCCGGTGCCCAAGGGCCGCCTCCGTAGCCTGAGCACTCGCATCGTTGACCGCCGAGGACAGCAGTCAGCGCCCGCTTCTGCAGTAGAGGATCGGCCCAGCGGTGCGTTAGGCTTGTTCGGTCCTCTGTTTGGAAAGTCCGACAGTGATTCCTCGCGCTCGTCTGGGGTACCCTTGTCTCAACTCAAGGGTGCGGGACCGAAGTTCCGGCGTGCCATGGGAATCCGTGCTTCGTCTGACGTGGCGCCGAAGGGAATTGATACGTCGACGCCGCCGCCGGCCTCCCCCGTTCGGGACAATGATCCGTCGGCGCGGACCGGGTCGACCACCCCTTCAACATCCAAGAGCTCGGAGCGACACAGCACGGACGGATCGAATAAGACCGCCGAGGGCGGGCTGTGGCCTCGATCCCGGCCGTCCGTCAAGGCGGGGGTCAAGTCCAAGAAAGACACCAGCGCGTATACCCGCGGGCTGGAGAAGAAATCGCCACAAGAGCAGATGGTGGGTTGCGATTATTTCGGGTGGATGAAGAAGCGGTCTTCCAATCTGATGACGACGTGGAAACCCCGGCTATTTGTCCTGCGGGGCCGGCGTCTGTCGTACTATTACTCGGAACAGGACACAGAGGAGCGTGGTTTGATTGATATTACAGCTCATCGAGTGTTGCGCGCAGACAATGACCCCATTGTGGCCCTCCATGCCACCATCACGGGCTCGACCGCATCGCCGACTCCGGCCAGTCAAATGAGCCAGGCGGATGGAGCTTCATCCGACAAGGCTGCAGCAGAGGCCCTCCGGGCAACCAAGGGAGCTGGTGAAGGACCGTTCTTCTTCAAGCTAGTGCCGCCAAAGTCAGGGACATCACGGACAGTTCAGTTTACCAAGCCGGCGATCCATTACTTCCAAGTGGACAACGTACAAGAGGGTCGACTCTGGATGGCGGCATTGATGAAGGCGACGATTGAGCGGGACATGGCCCTGCCAGTGGAGACAACGAACAAACAACGTACGATCAGTCTCAAGGAGGCGCGGCTGATGAACCAGCGTCCTCCAGCACTGATGACCGGATCGCCTAATACAGGGGAGGTAGCTCCGTCAGAGGCAGAGACGGAGACACAGGACAGCTTTACGGATCTGGAGCAAGATCGCCAAGGGCTGCTAATCCAGGGGGTGACCATGGACCCGGAGACAGAGCCGGTATACGTGGACGCAGAGGAGCATCGATCGGCGAGTCCGGTCGCGATGGACGACGAGGTGTCAGTTCCTGGATTGCAGCGGAACTCGCAGTAATTAATGGAGGATTGATTGATTGATCGATTTGCTTATGTGTGATGTATTGCTTTTTACCGCAGCCTGGTTGGCGTTTTATGTGATATACCCCGCTTGAATGTTTTCATATGTGAATGAGTCTATCTATCTATGTGTCTGTCTGTCTGTCTACTATGTAGGATGTAATATGGATGTGAATGTTGGATGTGAATTCTTTATCAGTATAAGCTCTATTCAGTATAAGCGACGGGGATCGGCGGGCCGCGTCACTGATCACCGCCGTTTGCTCCTCGCTTTTTCTACTTCCTACAATCCACACGATAATGGCTTGATTGAGCGCGTCCAACCCCGTTTACTCTCCTTGGTTTATTTTTATTCTATTCTTTCTTTTATTCCTATTCCAGTCACTCTTTTTATTCATCGATGCGGTTCTCCCCATGTCCCTCCTCCGCCTTCTCCTCCGCCACGCGCTGGCCATCCTCCTCCCGCTGGCCCTGACCAGCACTGTCTATCTCTATCTCTACCCCGTCTTTCACGGCTGCGCATTCCCTCTGCCAGAGGATTCTACCTCCTCTCATCTCTCAATCCCACACTTCTCTCCATCTTTCCTCTCCACTCTCCGCCACCACCTCGCCTCCTCGCCTCCTCCATCTGCGACCTCGCCCATCTTCCGCCTCCTCGTTTTGGCCGACCCCCAACTAGAAGGCGACACCTCCCTCCCCAAACCTCACGATCAACTCCCCGCCAAACTTTCCAACTACTATGCCGAACTGTCCTCCACAATCCGCACGAAACCCCCATCCGCCACCCTCTACACCCTCCGCTCCGTCCTCCGCTCCCTCATCTCCACCGACCTCCCCCGCGCATTTCGCGCCGCGCGCAAACGCCTCGACCTGCTCGGAAATGACTACTACCTGGCGCATATCTATCGCACGATGCACTGGTGGAGTGCACCGTCGCACGTCACCGTGCTGGGCGACCTAGTAGGGAGCCAATGGGTGAGCGATGGGGAGTTTGAGGAACGGGGTCGGAGATACTGGAAACGAGTGTTCCGCGGTGGTGTGCGGGTGGATGATGAGATTACCGGGGAAATGGGGACGGAGGTGTTGGGAACTGATAACGGGGAGTGGGAAAGGAGGGTCGTGAACGTCGTGGGGAACCACGATGTCGGGTATGCGGGAGATGCGAGTCCATCGAGGATCGAGAGGTTCGAGAGGGTGTTTGGAAGGGGAGATTGGGATGTGAAATTCACTCTACCTCCAGGAGAAGGTAAAGAGGGAGAAGAAACAGTTCCAACAATCCATCTCATCAATCTCAACAGTCTTGTCCTGGATACCCCCGCCCTGAGCCCTGAAGTCCAATCAGCCACATACGAATACCTAAACGGTCTATTGGACGAGCGAAGCCCATCCATTACTTCATCTCCGCGCGGGCAAACATTCACTCTCCTTCTAACCCACCTCCCCCTCCACAAGAAAGAAGGAATCTGCACTGACGCCCCCTTCTTCGCCTTCCACGATGACGACGACTCCAAGGGTGACGCCGCCGGCAACCCGCGCTTCTACGCCGGCGGCCTCAAAGAGCAGAACCACCTGAGCCAGTACGCCAGCGCTAATGCCGTGCTCGAGGGCGTTTTCGGGATGAGTGGGGACGACACCGTCCCCGGGAACGGTTGGGGAAGGAAGGGCCTCATTCTTACAGGGCATGATCATACGGGCTGTGATGTGGTGCATTTCGTGAATCGCACTATTGATGCTGCTGAGGCAGATGATGAAAAGAATGATGATGAAACGCGTGACTGGCAATGGGATGCCGTGCGCTATAAGACTCAGTATGGCACCACAAAAGAAGGGGACCTAGGCGTCCCCGCCATACGGGAGGTGACTATGCGCTCCATGATGGGAGAATACGGAGGCTATGCTGGACTCCTATCCGTGTGGTTCACCGGCGCCGAGTGGAAGTATGAGATCCAGATGTGCGCAGCGGGCGTGCAGCATCTTTGGTGGGCGGTCCATGTAGTTGATGTGATCACTTTCGGGTTGACGGTACTGTATATCGGATCGGGTATTATTGGAGCTGGTATCTCTGCTGGGAAGGATACCAAGGCGGAGAAGAAGATCAAAAAGCAATAACTTCATAGTATAGTCACATCCAACTATATATAGATCAACTGATCAATCAATCAATATTCATAACGACGTACATCTACAATTACATCATGAGACAAAAAAGAAGAAAGTGGACAGGTTTAAATTTTTTATGAATCCTTTTCATTTTTAGAATGTTCTTAGGTCATACTAAAAAAAAAACCGGTACCACCCCCTTTGTTCTAGAAGCCCTTGGTATCGCTTTTTTCTTTTCTCTTCTTGCTCCAAATTCCAGGTTTAACACATTTTACATGACAACACCGGAGTTGGAGGCAATACGCTGGACACACAGTTAGCATATGAACCTCCCTATATGATACATACCCGTTGAGGTATGCTAGGGAGAACTTACAGGCCAAAGCTCAGCAGCCTCCTTACCAACGGGACCAGTGATAGCGGAACCCTTCATCTCACCCTTGGCGTTGACGATCTAAACCGATCATTAGTATTTCCATCATTATTATCGCATATAGCCCTCATCCACTTGATATAAAGAGTGGGATTGGAGTTCGGGGGCAAGGGTACGTACAACACCAGCGTTGTCCTCGAAGTAGAGGTAGATACCGTCGGGGCGTCTCCAGGGCTTGCTCTGACGGACAACAACAGCGGGCATGACCTTCTTACGGAGCTCAGGCTTTCCCTTCTTGACGGTGGCCATGACCATGTCACCGACACCGGCAGCGGGGAGACGGTTCAGGCGAGCACCGATACCCTTGACGGAGATGATGTACAGGTTGCGGGCACCGGAGTTGTCGCAGCAGTTGAGCACGGCGCCGCTGTAGGCAAAAAGATTAATTAGCTGTGTTCATCATTTTTTCTTCATGTGTTCGTGTCGGTTGTAGGTTGTGAAATCATGGGTGTTGGGTGGGAAGATATCGAGGTGGCTTGTGTGTGGTGGGTGTATGTTTCGATTGAAGAATAATTGAGATCGATTTGATTTGATTTGATTGTATCGAATCGCATAATTCTCTCGAAGATGGGTGTATGGATTTGAACGGAAGAAATTTGGAGTTGACATACCAAGGCAGACCGAGGGTCATCTTGAGCTTGTTGCCGGAGGCACCACCGCGTCTGTTATAGATATTTTGTTAGCTTTAATTCCCTCGTATCCCATGTATATCAAATTCCCATCCACATAGATTTATCCATCTCTTTCCCGGACCTTCATTCATCCCTCCTCTTTCAATCTCGTATGTCGCATGTCGAACTCAATCCAACCGTAATTTCGAGCCGAAATCTCCAGCCAGCGATTATTCCATTCCATCCCTTCTCATCTCATCTCTTTCCCGCAGTATTTCAATATCTCCGGTCCGGATTTCTTCCTCTCTTTCTCTGTCTCGCTTTCCCACACGTCTCCAACAACGAAAAGAAACAACTCACCCTCTCGCAGACATCTTGGCTGTGTATCTAGGGTTGTCGGATAAAAACTGGGCGACAAGGGAAGGGGGACGGACGGACGGTCGAAACGGGGGGTGTCGTCGGATTCAGAGACTTGGTCGCGGGTTTCGATTTGCTTCTCGCTTAGTGTGCGTCGTGGGTAAATCTTGGCAGTGCTTCCCCATTGGCTGGTTTATGCGGATAGAGGGTTGCCCTAGAACTAGCCCCGTTCCGGTTAGAATGGGTTAGTCAGAGATTAGTCAGGATGTCTAGACTATCTTTGATAACCATCTTAACTACTACTTCTTATCTGGAGTGACAGGTATAGCAATCTGCTTCATATGGAATACATTGATAAATACACTAGTTATTGAATCTGCTCTAAAGATAGGCAATCATGCTCTCAAATATGTAGTAACAATAGAAGAAGAAATCGATTCGTTTCCCAAACACCAGCCGCCCGTTCCTTTGCGCCATTCGTTCGTTGTTGTCTTGCTCGCTCAGCTTCACTCCTCTGTCTTGCTTGCTTCCTCGGTCTTTTCGGCTTCTGTTGCTCCTGCGGCTTCCGCGCTGGGTTCCTTTGATTTGGCTTCACCCGACTCGTCCTTGGCTGCCTCCGGGGTCTTGTCCTTGGTCTCGCTCTGCTCACTGGCCTCCGCAGGCTTGGTCTCCGCCTCTGCCGTGTCGGCTGCCTCAGTCGTCTCTTTCGCAGGTGACTCGTCTTTCGTCGCAGGCGTTTCTTCCGTAGCGGGCTTGTCAGCCGCAGGGGTCTCCTCGCTGGGCTTCTTCTTTTCCTCTTCCTCTTCCGCCGCGCCCTCGGGCGCAGCTTCAGATTTCTCGGTCTCCGGCGCGACCTCGCCCGCATCTACCATTGTAGTGTCTTCGTCCTGGGGCTTGGGAGACGGTTGCCGGGAGATCGGGGCCGATGCTGCCGTCGTTTCTGGTCCATCCACTGCCATCTCTGTTTGCTCTGTTGCGGAGGCCTCGTCTGCTCGGGACGGCGCATCGGCCGCAGAGGGGGTGGCTTGCGCCTCAGTCTCCGGCTCCGGAGCCTCGGTCATCTTCGCATCAGCAGTCGTATCCATGTCATCGTCAGGAAGAGAAGATGCGTCCTGTGGCGTCGCCATGCCGCTCTCGAGCCCCGAGTCGTTAACATCGAGATTCCGATAGTTGACCTGGTTTCTCCGCTTGAGCGCGTTGGGTTGCCGCCGGACGCCGTTGGCCCCAGCCAGCTCCTCGTCGTCACTGTCACTAAGCTCTCCGGGCTTCTCAATGTACTGATCGAAGCGGCGCTTGGTGAAGCGCTTGTCCTTGTTCTCGTCCTCGTCCAGATCGTCCAAGATAGCATCTGCCTCGTCGTCCATACCCTCCACAAGAGGCTCTCGGGGCACCTCGGTCATCTGCACGGAGGGCGCAAAGGCGGTCCGCTTAAGGTTTTCCACGACCTGTGTGCGGATCTTGTCGAGGTATTCCTTCGTGTTAGCATTGTCCATGTTGGACGGACGTACATCCAGCTCGTAGTCAGGTGCGAAGTACTAAGCCTGTTAGCTGTGTATAGTCACCATCTAAAAGCAAGAACCTACCTCGTAGTAATCGTTGTATGGAAGCTCCGCCCCAAGGGTGTCACCAACAAGAATACCGGTTTCGAAGGCCCATGTGCGTGCCACGTTTCGCATCGTATAACCACCACCGCCGAGAATCATGGTGGGCAGGTTAAAGCTCTTCACAAAGTTTACACAGTTCGCGTGGCCTCGCATACTGAGGTTGAAGCATCCGAGCCGGTCGCCCGAAAGACTATCGCCACCGCACTGCAAGACCACCGCTTCGGGTCGGTACCATTCCATGACGCTCTTGATAACAGGCTCAAAGATACTCTTGTATGAAACGTCATCAATGCCATCGCGGAGAGGGAAATTGACGGCGTAGTGCTTGCCCTGTCCCACTCCGATATCACGCAGCTCACCCGTACCCGGGAAGTACTCGCCGTACTTGTGGAAGGACACCGTCATTACACGATCGGTCGTGTAGAATGCCTCCTCAACACCATCTCCGTGGTGGACATCGATATCAACGTAGAGCACGCGCTGCTTGAATCGCAGCAGTTCCAAGATACCCAGAACGATGTCTGTGTTGTGTCAGCGAAGGCCCAGCATATCGTTTCGCGCAACTTACCGTTTACATAACAGAATCCACTTGCTTCGCTCTTCTTCGCGTGGTGAAGACCACCGGCCCAGTTAACGGCAATGTCGCACTTGTTGCGGTTGAGCCGGGCGGCACCCTCCATACTACCACCCGCGCTAATACCGCAAAACTCAAAGAGCCCATCGAAGACGGGACAGTCATCTCCGACATTGTATTTGCTCTGCTCCTTCGCGAAGGAGTCCATGTTGTCCGGTGTAACCTTCGAAAGGAAGTCGATATACTCATCTGTGTGAAATTGGGTCATTTCGTATTTCGAGGCCGGCTTCGCCCGCTGTAGACTGCGTCAGTGCTGCTTTCACAAGACTTTGTAGAGATCCTCTGTCAGATCCAATAGTAATCATCCATAACCACTCACGTATATCTCCATCTTCTTATAAAGGCCATAGTTCATGACCAGACTGTGAGCCATCCTTATGCGATGGGGCTTCATCGGGTGTCCCGAGACGTAGGCATAGTTTCCCACGTCGGAGTCGTAGAAATAGGCCACTTTCTTGTTGCGATCCGCCGGCCCATTGGTAATGGGATCCAGAGGTGCGAGTGAGTTACTCATGTCGAAGGTCACTGTGCGAGGCACACGGCGATTCCTCACTCAGACCAATGCGTAGGAATGTCGCTTGAGCGCGGTGATTTCTCGGGGTGTGTATGTGGGCGTCAGATCGACAGAAAATAGGCAAATCAGACCCAAAGAGTCAAGGAGTATACTGAATAGAACAGATAAAGCGCCCCTATAAGCGAGCCAGTCGATTAACTCTCACAGAGTGGCACTAATGAAGTACATTCGCAATGGCCGGGGGCGGACAATAAGTGATGGGGACCGAAAGGAAGCGAAGGGAGACGCAAAGGCGGAACCCAGAGCTGCTCCACCGCCTTCGTCAGGCTTCTTGGGAAGCTCGACCGTCACTACTTACACACGCCCCAGTTGCGCCTCCATCACCACCTGCTTCCCATCTTCAGCTTTCGTCTAGTCTCGCTTACTGTTCCATCGGAACCGGCTCAAGCATCCCCTCTGTCTATACAACGTCTGAGCTTTTCCAATCAACGAATTTGCTCCGATACCCCCACTCAACCTTCCGATTGGAGCTTCCGCGTAGGAAGTCATCCTGGTCTCATCTACATAACTAACACTCAAACCAACCCCCCCGTCTCCACTATGGATCGTCTGCATCGCATGCTCCAAGCAGCCCAGGGAATGGGCGTTGGAGGGAATAATGGAGTGAGTAACACTTAGGCGAGCAGCGGACATGGCACTCGTATCTCCAGAGGGTCTGGGACCATGGGCTAATGCAGGCACAGGATATCCCCAACCTCATCGATAACTCCGAAACCGTCCACATCTCATCGCTCGCTCTGTTGAAGATGCTAAGACACGGTCGGGCCGGTGTGCCTATGGAAGTCATGGGTCTGATGCTGGGAGAGTTCGTGGACGAGTACACAGTTAGGGTAGTTGATGTTTTCGCCATGCCCCAAAGTGGTACTGGTGTCAGTGTCGAAGCCGTGGACCCTGTTTTTCAAACGAAGATGATGGACATGCTGAGGCAGACTGGACGGTAAGCTCGGAAAGTATCTCGCGCGCTACCCAACTCATCCTAACGCATCGTGCTATAGACCAGAGACCGTTGTTGGCTGGTACCACTCGCATCCTGGTTTCGGCTGCTGGCTTTCGTCCGTCGATATCAACACTCAGCAATCCTTTGAACAGCTCACTCCCCGCGCCGTTGCCGTGGTCGTCGACCCCATCCAGTCCGTCAAGGGCAAGGTCGTCATTGATGCCTTCCGTCTCATCCAACCACAGACCGTCGTCATGGGCCAGGAGCCCCGCCAAACAACATCCAACCTGGGTCATCTGAACAAGCCGTCCATTCAGGCCCTCATCCACGGCCTCAACCGCCACTACTACAGCATTGCCATCGACTACCGCAAGACCGGTCTCGAGGAGAACATGCTAATGAACCTGCACAAGCACGTCTGGACGGAGGCACTGCAGATGAAGGATTTCCACGAGGAGGGTGAGCACAACGTTGAGCGCATGAAACAGCTCGTCAGCCTCGCCGAGGGTTACGAGAAGCGGGTCAAGGAGGAGACCACTCTTACTAAGGACCAGCTCAAGACGAGATACGTCGGCAAGGTCGACCCCAAGAAGCGTAAGTTTCTCGCTTGATCACTGTGTTGATTCACTACTAATTCGACCCTTCTACAGACATCGAAGATGTGAGCCAGCAGTTGATTGAGGACAACATCGTGGCCGTCTCGCGGCAGATGATTGACAAGGAGGCCTCGGTGGCACGGCAATCAAACGGCAAGGAGAATGGCACCGGCATGGAGGTTGATGAGGAGCTATAGAACAACCATACCATACCATATATTTCCTAATGCCAATCCAGACTCCCTGAACGCAGGCTCTATGTACAGGACGGTCGTCTTGTCTTGGGAAACACATCAATGAATGACGTTATATGTATCATCCCGGTATATAACCACCAGTAGTAACAGCACACAATGTGAGCCGAACAAAATGAAAACAGATATGAACTTGTCCCAATTGTCTAATAATTCTATGTGAGAATATATATGCATCTAATGTTATCAAACCCAATAACGAGCAACCGATCTAAACTCCCGCAAGACCGCATTATCATATCATGCCAATATAACCCAAACCCATCACATCATGATCACATCTCAATAATCGAGGTACGGATTGAACAACGGAAGTGGCGGCGGCGGCAGGCCATGCAACCTGGCGAATTCCTGCGCCTCCTCTAATTCCTTCTTCCGACGAGCCTTTTCCTGCATTTTCTTCTCATGCGCCTTAACACCATACGCATCATCACTGAACTCCTCCCCATCATGATCCGTCCACCCCCGTTCGGGACCCCAAGCAATCTTCTTCCCAGCCGTCCTGACCTCGTGCATCAATCTCTTCATCAGAGCCCCGCTCTTCCGTACAGACGGCCAGCCATCAAATTCCACATACTCCAGACTCGGCAACCTCTCCAGGACACCCTTGAGCAGATCGCCCGCAAAATCCGTATAATAGTCCCTTGAGATACGGAAACCCTCGAACACCGGATGCGATGGATCCACTTCGACGAAGACTTTGAACGTGCGCATTCGCTCCATCTCCTCCAGTCCCAGGCTACGCGTGATGGTCCATTCGCGCGGTGGCGCTGTCCAGCTCGATCCTAGAATCAACTCGACTGTGGCGATGGAGGGACGGTAGCGCGGGGGGATGGCCCGGATGGTTGGCATGCGCGAGTAGTCTTGTAAATGGAAGAGACGGAATACTTGGGTGGAGTAGAAATAGTCTGAGGCTTCATCGTGCATGCGCCGGGAGGTCAGGAATAGTGCGACTCGGTGGGAGGTGGGTGAGATGGGAGGGTTTTTCTTCGACGAGGCGCCCACGCTGCCTGTTAGGCGCGGGTTGCGTCCGCGTTTCGGGGTGAAGAGCACAAAATGATAGACACGTAGACGGATCTCGGAGGGGAGGTCAAAGAAGCGGAAGGGTTCGATGGGGGGTTTCTTCGGACGTTGCTTCTTGATGGGCTTGCCTTTGACGGTTTTGCCGGTGGTGGATTTGTCGTCCAGACGGACTTTTTCCAGTGCTTGGGAGAGGGAGTTCATGTTGGTCATTTTTGTGTGTAGAGGGTGGATGGTTGAAGAGGCAAGAAAGGAGAAAAAAACCTGCGCTCAAACGGATCTAGATGGAAGAGAAGAGATATACGCCACGATACGAATGAGGATCTTTTAGAGAGAGAACTCGGATGATTGAAGACTTTTCTTTTCTTTTGTTTTCTGGTTCATCCCATTGTTGCATTGAACTGGAAGTCGAGAATTAACGACATATACGACACGATATAGCATCCATCGCTAGTACTTATAACGGAAGAATCAAAAGGATATATCCCACCAACGGGGCTGCAGCTGCATGGGGTACCTTCGCTGCGGCTCTTGGGTGTGGGAATATTGGTCTCCCCAGCCTAATTCAACCCGGCACGCATGGAGGAGAAAGGCCTGATGAGTCAAATTTATGAGCTGGGTTTCAACTTTCAAATTGTGAGTAAAAAGAAGAAAGGAAAGGAAAGGAAGGCATCTCTGCGCCGGTATTTAAGCTAATTTCCAGTACTGCACTATTGGTCTGCGTAGCCCCGCCCGACGGTCAGTGCGTGAACTTTTCTGTTTCCGCCGAAGACCGCCGGCATTGCTGGGCCCCGATCATCCACTTGCTTCTTGTTTCTTGATTGTTCTTCACTTCACCCCAACCGTGCTGTTTTACCTCCCTCGGTGTCGGTGACCATTCTGTTCCGGCGCGTGTATTCCTCATCCTCTTCGGTCCATCTATAGATGCCCTTTTCACTTTCATAATGCTTAGTCGTGCCGTACTGCCTCTGACGAGGCCGAACGTCCTCACCTCGACCGTTCGAGCTTCAACTATTTCCGTCGCCCACTCGCGCTGGTATGCGAAGTCCACCAAGCCCAAGACTCCCTACAAGCTTCCTCAGTCCGTCAAGTCTGCCAATTCAGAACAGTCGCCCAAGGCTCCCTCTCAGAACGACTATTCCGCGGAGCAGGCCGAATTCGATACCAAGGCTGCACCGGCCACCGAAGCCGTGAGTTTGATGACGACGCTGATAATCTCAACACATCTTCTGACACTTTTTATCCCCAGTCTGAGACCAGTTCTACAGCTCCCCAAAACGATGCTCCTCAAAAACCCCTGCCCGATCTCACCCAGGGCATTCCCTCCACCCTTGCCGCAGAATTGGAAGCCGCCTCGAAGAACCGCGGATCAAGCAAGCTAAACCTCACAGAGGACCCGTCGCGTGCGGAAGATTACGATGATGGTGGCCGTGATATTCCCAATTACGAATCCTCCCTCGATCGCAAGCGCGCCCGTATGGCCAACCTGATGTATGTCCTGTTCCTGCTGGCAGGTGCTGGTGGTGTGGCCTATCTGGGCCGCAACTGGGAGACCGAGGAGGAAGCGAAGGCCCACCCCGACGTGCCATCGGGCTGGGGCTTCGGACTGATGTACAACCGTGCCAAGGCCCGCTTGGGCGATATCACCAGCTACTACAAGGACCCTGCTTTCCCCAAGCTGCTGCCCGATGAGGACCCCAACATGCGTCAGCCTTACACCCTTGTGCTGAGTCTGGAGGATCTCCTGGTGCACAGCGAGTGGAGCCGTGAGCATGGATGGCGTGTGGCCAAGCGTCCGGGTGTCGACTACTTCCTCCGCTACCTCAACCAGTACTACGAACTTGTCCTCTTCACCAGTGTGCCCAGCATGATGGCCGATCAGGTGCTCCGGAAGCTTGACCCCTACCGCATCATCCGCTGGCCCTTGTTCCGTGAAGCCACCAAGTACAAGGATGGAGAGTACATCAAGGTATGTCACTATTGGCTGTACCTAGCTCCCAGTCATGACTAACCCAGACAACCAGGACCTGTCCTACCTCAACCGTGATCTGTCCAAGGTGATTTTGATTGACACCAAGGAGGAGCACGCCCGCCTGCAGCCCGAAAACGCCGTCATTCTTGAGAAGTGGCTCGGCGACTCCAAGGACAAGACCCTCGTCGGCATGATTCCCTTCCTCGAATACATCGCCGGTATGGGCGTCGAAGACGTGCGTCCCGTCATCAAGTCCTTCGAGGGCACCCAGATCCCCGTGGAATTCGCCAAGCGTGAGAAGGCCATGCGTGAGCGCTTTGAGAAGGAGCTGGCTGAGGAGCAGAAGAAGCGCCCCCGCAGTGGTCTGGGCAGCTTCGCCTCTGCCCTGGGCCTGAAGTCCACCCGCACCCTGGACGGCGAGCAGAGCCCCTCGGAGGGCTTGGCCCAGGGTAAGATGCTGTGGGACCAGATCCGCGAGCGTGGCCAGAAGAACTACGAGATGATTGAGAAGGAGATCCGTGAGAACGGCGAGAAGTGGCTGGCCGAGATGGCCGCGGAGGAGGAGAAGGCCCGTCAGGAGCAAATGGCCATGATGAAGGGCTCTTTCACCGGCATGTTCGGTGCTGGTCCTAAGCAGTAAATTCTTCTTGAGCGATGACGCGGCGGGGCGCATAAAGCCCTCGCTCGCAATGACCTTCTCTTCTCTCTTCCGCTGTTTACTTCCCAAAAAAAGAAATTTATTGGGTTATTTAATGTATATCCGAGATGTCATCTGCTAGATGGTCTCGGGAATGTGGGGTTCACATTAGAGGGGTGTCTTTTTCTTTTTACCTTTTCGTTGGCTCTTGCGCGATTCATCACGGGTTTTCATCACCGTTGTAAAATAGCATTTGGTTGTGTATTTGGTTTTGCGGTGTATAAATTGATAAATTTTAATGAAGGCAAAAGAAGTTCATTGTCCTTGACTTATGTCTTATCTGTAGAGTCGTATTATCATCCTCTAAGGGAAATAATCCGTAGTCCAACTAAGTTCAAATGTACTAGTTAACAACATTGGTGATTGCCGGCTAACATATACTATGTTTTCCTACTACCATAGGGTCTGAAGGGGTTGCGTAGGGAGGGCCTTCTTGTATTCAACAATAACATAATACTGCCAGTAGCCGTGGTAGAATATTCCGTTTTTATTGAATGTTGATCAATATCATTGCTAAATGTTGCCATATATTCACATTGAACTCTGGGATAATACAACAGTAGTATTCAGTTATTTAACGGTAGTAAGTACCTTCCCCCACATTTACCGGGGTATGTCATTATTATCTATTGAGTAAACGTGTACTGGACGACAATTTTCATTCTGATCGTTGACCTTCCCGATTTGTTGACCAAAATTGAAGCTTCTGTTGCAAGATGGTGCACCAGATATATATATTAGCTAAGTAGTACTGCCACCGAAGCGGGTAGTAGTAACTATATTGAAGATTGAACAACCATCGTGATTCAACAACTAGTACTAGTAGCATCCGCATTCAATTCATTGCATATGTCCTATGAGAACGATTTCAATAATTGTTATATCTAGTATAGTACCCCGTACTCGTCAAGTTATCTACTTGTCAGACCTGACTAGATCGCAAGGCCGAGTGACAGCATTGAAACTCTGGGGGGCCGGGAAGGTAGAGGGGGGTAAGAGAAAAGCGCTGATAAGTGCATAGTCATTGAAGAAGTTACCCCATACCGTCAGTGAAGGCTGGAAGGACTAAGCAGGCCTGTCTGGCTTGTGATCGTTAATCTCCTTGCAGCTCTGGAAGCGCGCGCGATCGAAAAAAGCCTTATTACTCCGTAGAATCTGCCAAAAAGACTGTGGGGAGCATCCCAGTCACAACTGAGTCAGCCAGGGCGACCAACCACGTGCCCCAGATTGGTGGAATGGCCATCCGCGCAAGCACTAGTCTTCTTTAGAAGAAGGTCCCTCCTGCCAGGGCTTAGCGCGGTAAGATTGCATACATTGTTTCATAGTTACAACTAGTGTCTTTAGTAGTAGTGAACAATGCCTCTTAATACATCTCATACATACATACACTAGTAGTTAGCTGGTTCTTGTGTTTCATTGTCAGGAACCCATTTCATCCACTCTCCTCCTCTTTTCTCCATCCTCCTCATCCCACCTGCTAACTAGTATTCCCCATCTGTTCTCATCTCTTCTTGGACTTCCTTCCCCAAAGTTCTTATATACCTCTTCATGCTTCCCCGCTTCTGACCTATCGAGTTCCCCTTCCTCGGTCATCTGAAACTGCCCCGTTTCAAAAACTCCATACGCATTGGAGCAGAAGATCCCCGGTGCATTATTGGCGTGCGGGTGAGGGACACAGCCACCGGCCTTGCTCGTTGGCGCTTCCCGCTTTGCCCACCAGCGTGCTTCCTTCCGCGGCCTTTATTTCGCCCCCTATGTCCTCGAAAAATCATGCTGGGCTTGGATAATTGAACACCCCCAGTGTCGTCTGCATTTGTTCCATCAAATGTAGACCCGCGTGGGCGAGACTCCAACTAACTACTACTACTACCATCGACCATGGAGGAGGATGTCCGGTTGCCCACCTCAGAGCGGCTTGGCGGCCCCCATCTTGATCCCGATCAGTGTCCCTCGACCACTTGCTCCCTTAAGCTGCATCAGGAGCTCCCGAAAAGCACGCGACCGCGTTTGGAGAAGCAGGCCTTGTCACCATTTGCTCGTTTGCCTCGTACCGTCATCGAGCAGTAAGTGCACTTCCGTCGTCCCAGAGCCGGCGCATCGCGCGAGCGACAATCATGTGATTGATGATATCTGCTGCCTGTGCTCGGAAGCTTTTCTGATTTAACTGGCGCCTTAGTATCCTATATGTTGCGGATGCCAACACATTTGCGTCGCTAACACTGCTGAATCGAAAATGGCGACGCATATCGGACTCAACCATTTTGTATGCGCACCATCTCTTCCAATGCCCGTCCTTTGCCTTGACGCAGAAGGCTACTGAGCAGCCCGCTCACTCAAGTGATCTTATACTGCTCAAGCGGCAGTTCGGCGCGCAGGTCAGGCGGAATGCATTCGATGCTTTTCTCCGGCCCCGCAGGACTCTCATCAAGCTTACTTCGACTTCCATGAGCTCCTCGACGGCCTTCCCGCAAGGTGAAGCATTTCGCTTTTCTTTCTCTCCAAATGCACAACTTATCCTGTGCATCAGCTCTTCCAGAATTGTGGTTCTCGATGTAACCGCGGATCTGGCGGTCGTGAAACACGAGCTCAAGACTTGGCGACGGCCTTTGAACGCTGCCATTGTTGATGATGGCTCCATTCTCGCTGTGGTGTCCTCTACTCATCGGGTCAATATCTACCGCCTTACCGATGATGAAGCGAAACACATTCAAGATTTGACATTGAACGATGTTCCTCGGACCCTAGCGCTCTCTCCGACAGGGGGGGTCCTTGCCATTGCGTACGATGATCGGATCGAGGTCTACGCCATCGGTGAAGGGGCCCTGGCTACCGAGCGAAGAGCTGTGCGCTGCTCCGGAGTTGACTCGGTGTCGTTTTCCTCTGATGGTGTCATGCTACTAGGGACTTCCGCTGATCGCGGTAATGGCGGCCTTGTCACTATAACAGTGCCGTTCTACACAGAATCAGAAACTGAGTATTCCCCAAGGGATGCTCAGATCCGGATGTGGACAACACAGATTTTGTTTCCAGACGTAACCACCGGGCTTAGCCATGCCTGTTTGCTGCCCTTGCACGCAGAAGGTGAAGGCAATTGGCTACTAGGGTTTGATGAACAAATAAACACGTTTCGAGCATTCGGGGTGCACAACACGAACTCGGGCACAGCATATTTCGTGACTCCGATGTCTGAGGATGGGTCCCGGGAGACATCTCCCATCATGCTACCCACTGTTGACGACCTCGGGGAGCTGGCTGCTATAGGGTTCGAGAGTTCTGGCTTATGGGTATATGGTGTACCTGATCGTCTGGATATTGCTCCTGTAGCTCCCAACGCAAGAACATATGCTGAAGTGGATGCTGAGCAGGGCCCTTCAATCGAGGAAGCGGCTGCTGCCCGGGATAGCCTGTCCCGACTCCAGCAGACCATCACAAAGCCCAAAGTCCTAATCAATGGCCATAAGATGAGCGTTATGCCGGGAATGACAGCAGCTTGCTGGGTACGCCACCCAAGCTGTGTGGCTGGCCGTCGTAGATTGGTAGCCGTTGCTCCTGGTGGCATTAGCCCTCCGACGATCGGCGAAGAAGACGTGCCGGTAGATGGCGGACGTGTGCTGCTGTTAGACTTCGAACGATCTGCCACAAATGGTGACTCGGTTGAAGTCAACATCGAGGTCGGTGATGCGGAGCCGAAGATCCTGAGTGAACCGAACTCTACCATAGATACCGAAGTCGAGCTGGAGAGGAGAAGGACGCGATTACATCGTGGGAATACTACTTCGCCTCGGGCACGCGCATTTGCTCGAGAATCCTATCCTTCGGCCAACTCGGTCGTCCACGCACCTCGGCAAAATGTGCGCAGAAACAGCTCCTTCTTCTCGGGCTCTTCGACTAGCGACATTCAGCACATTCCGGAATCACCGTATGACAACAGGCAACCTCGATCTCGGGACACGTTGCGTCGTGCAGCCACGGCCGCGGCTAGTGGTCGGGGACGCTATAACCCACGCTATCAAGACGAAGCACGCCCTGTTCAAGGCCAAAGGCCAGCCTCACAGGCTTTCCAGGTCCCTCATGAGAGCGACGCAGACAATTGGGTTCCACCGCCACCTCCCTATTCTAGGGTCCCCGACGCACCGCTTCCCGATTATCTCCGAAGGACCCTCCTCCCTTCGCATACGGAACCGGCCCGTAGAGTCGGTGATGTTCCAGAAGACATCCAGAGACCTCAGACCAGTCGTCTGGAACAGATGGTCGACGAATCTACGTCCCGAAGCTCGCTACAAAGATTGCATACCATTACTGGCTCACGGCTCGCGGCTCGCATGAGGAGGGGCATGAGAGACTCCGAGTCCCCTGAACCGAACAGACGACATACCATGTTCTTTCGCAGAAGAGACTCTGCCACAGGACCCCAACCTAACGTCCACGGCCTTGATGGAGCGCAGATGCCTGTGTTAGAGCAAGACCCTTCGGTCAACTTTCAGGGTCAACTGCACCCTGTCCTCAGCGGGTCTACACAGCTAAATCAATCGTCAGCAGTTCAACGAGCAAATTACCAGGACGTTTTGCTTGAGGAGTCTTTACCTGACGCCCCGGACTGGCAGGAGGCTATGCCCCCGACACAGAATGGGACTTTCAATCTGGACCATTACCCATACTCCATCTCCTCGCCTAATCTTCAGGTCTCGACCCTTCAACATGATGCCCCCGAGGCGGTGCATGGGAGTCGACAACGTTCCACCTACTACCGAGGAGCAGATCGGCGCTCTCATTCTCAGAATGTCCGGCTCCCGCCTGGGGGTATTCCACCGCTGAACCGCCGGGCATCAACCGACCCCACACTATCTACCAGTTCACAAGCGGCTGCACATGATCTGTGGCGGAGACGCATTGAAGAGTGGAACGAGCAGACCATCTACGAGAGAAACAAACGCAGAAGCAAATGTATAGTGATGTAGGAAGATTGCCATTATGTTGCGTGGGTTAGACTGTTTAGGCTTTTGGCTCCGGATGTTTCTTTTTTTTCTTTTTTTTTTTTTTTACTTAGCTCATATACCCGAGTGGACATATATAGGCTTTGTAGAGCTGTGCATATTGATCTTCTCAACCACATCTTTTGACCTTGCGCAGCTTTTACTTTCTGTTTTGAACCGCAGGCAAGTAAGGTGTATACTGTGTCTCTTATTTTTAGACAAGCGCTATGATAGCTGCTTATCCCGGCATCTCTTCAACGGATTCCAAACGGTCAATTTGGGGTATTTGATACCATGTCAACTTGATCAGGGTAGGAATTCTATTTCACGAAGCTCCAAATTCATACTAATCGTGAAAAGTGCTCGAGTATACCACTGCCGAAAGACAGCGGAATTGAAGTCATGACTCATTGTGTTTTCTATAATTACCACAAAGCCAGATTTATTCAAAGGAGGTGGTTGCGTTTCTGCGTCTCTCCTTCCTCGCAAGTCAAAGAAAGGTTTCGTCCCGTGGTTTACGTCTTTGTGCCTAATATTCTGTCCATCATATTCTTCCCCTAACCGTGCAACCTAATAACAGCAATACCAGGGGAATATGCTGGATTTGCTCTTCTTAATGTCTTTGTTTTCAACATCCTAAATATGCCTCTATATGGCTACTACCTGCATACATTACTCTCGCGGCATTTCATGCCTATCATTGAATTTGGTAGACTTACCCAGTAGCCACCATGTCCGAAGCCCCACACTCACGCTACAATCTTCGAAAAAGAAACCCCGTCGATAATGACGTTTTCGAAGAACTGGAAAAGTTCTTGAGTGAGCAACGCAATATTCCCCGGGTAAGAAAGCCACGAACAGGTGGAGGAGCAGGAAAGCCACGAAGAGGCAAAGGAGGAAGAAAGCCACGGAAAGGTAAAGGCAAAGCCTCACAGGGACCATCAACGCCAGATTCGTTTACAACAAAGATCCACGTCAAATTTATCGCAGACATCCAAGAAGAATCAGATCAACAGTCCGAGGAAGCCTCAACAGAAAGTGCCGCCAACATGTCCGATTGGTATCGCTCCTCCCATAGCGAGGCGGATCTCAAACCTGGGGAGTCTCACTCTAACAGACATTTCTATTACCAGCGGACCGGACCTCCCAGGCCCGATTGCTTGTTCGCTGCCAATGTTGAGGTAGTAAACAAGGTGCCGGTGGATACCATCGTTGACCCCAGATACATGCCGTCAGATGATGATACCGGTGAGTAAGCTCTGCTGTGCTGTGCATTTCGAGCACTAATCCAGGATTTGCGATGGTCCTAGAATTCCAGAGACTAGTGGACCTATGGCAAGATCCTGCAGTCGAAGATAAGGTTGAGTTATCGGACTGGTCTGAGTTAGAAAAACTAGTAGATCCGAAGAAAGCCAGGTTCGCGCCCCTTTTCAGGGACGTTCATGATGACAGATATCGTAAGGAAACAGAACCAGATATCCTTTTTGATTATATCGCCTCGCTATTTGAGCAATTACCAAGTCAAGGAGAGATGTGTGTCACCTTTTGACTTCCCGAATGCTATAGAGCCATGAGAAAGCTGACTATGTTCACCCACTCAGTGATTTTCGTCAGAAATGCTACTTCCCGCTCGCGCGCGAGGACCTGGGAACGCATCAGGGTCTATATTTCAGTTACTACATTGGAAAAGGAACCTTCAATGTCCCTGGTGGTCAAGCGATTGGCGTTCCTCTCGCCGTTTGCACTGTGAGATTTATCCTCCTCGTGAGCTGGTACCTGAAGCTGAACAACCTGCAGTGCAAACCGAAGCTCGGACGAGCTGGCATCGCCCAGTCTGAGATCCCGGGACTTTTGTTCCAAGCCAACATGGCCTTCGAATTCGAAAGTAATCACGAGCAATATCCTGCATATGTCATCAGCGTGCGAGGTTGGAAAATCCGCTTCGTCAAAGGTATCATGACCCAGCAGGAAGTTGCCCATCTCCAAGATAAGGAAAAGCTATCAGGGAGGATCAAGGTGCAGCGAACTGGGGCGTACGATCTCTATTACCGCAACGAGCGCAAGGAGTTTATCCGAGTTATGCTAGGCTTGTTGCGGTCATTCAAAGATCGACGCGAAGCAGACTTTTCTACCCAACTGCTCTGATTCGGTGGTAACGTACAACCAGTGCTGGCGTATATGTGCGTGTGTGTATAAACATGCCGTATTCAATATTCTGTGGAACTATAGTGACTGAAGTTAAGGCACTTGGACAGATCTTGTTGGTCATTGGCCTGGTAGTTATAGTGTTATTACGCCTCCAGTGGGTCCTTATCAGATTTTAATCCTGTTGAACGGGGTCTCGAAAAACAGGCAGATTCATTAACCTCCGACGAACCTAATACGAGCACGCAGGCATGAGCAGCAGCTCCAGGCAGTAAGCACTATCAGAACCGAAGAATAGCCTGAAGCCCATACAAGCATCGGATATCAAATGATCAAAGACCGATGACAGCGTACGGGGCACACGCAGACATGCCCTCTTATTTCCAATTGACCTACTTCTCCTTGATAAGTGGTGAAATAATGGACATGATATTTGGATAATCAGGTGGAACATGAGTGGTCAAATCCAAACCAGTCGTCCGGCGGCCTAGTTCCTGGTCCGTCGGACGTCCGAGCTTCCGGCTGGCGTCGGATAGGCTGCTATGGTGATAGGGCGAGGGGTGGGGCCAATTAGATTAATTTAGTGTATGAGCTTTCTGTAGGTAGTTGATAGTCATACCATCTTTCCTTTACCAGCATCCCCTTTATGAATAAAAACAAGCAAGTAATCTGATTGTTCCTGCTATACGATATCAACATCAAGGACTGGCGTATAGTTAGGGTTGAAATCAGGGACTCGGGATTACCTAACAGAAAGGGTTCAAGGTGGGGCGGATCCTCCGATGGCCCGTGCTGACTAAGGCGCCACCGTTGCGCCCCTGCTATCATCACGTGCTTTTTTTTTTTCGGGCGAGACCACGTGAGAGCGAGATCGGACAGCTTCTCCTCGCTCGCAGTCCGTTTCCCCCGCGCTGGATTGATTCCATCCCAATCTCAGTAAGAAAGGGTCTGGATCCCTCCATTCGACTCCTCTTTGAAAGGATCTGCACGCACAAACAGCACAGCGCCTTGACATAACCTCACCCTTTCGGTGTTGTTTGTTTCACTCTTCTCCGACTCGCTCTCCGAAGTTCTTTCTCTCACGTGGGCAAAAGGCTCGTGCCCAGCCAATTTCCCCGACAGACCCCGATCATTCTTTTCTTTTCTTTTTCTGGTGTTATAATACCACATCCTATTTCGGCCCTCCTCCTACCTTCCCTACTATCAGCCTGGAGTCTTCCGAACGATCGCCCAGCGGAATCGGAGGCAGGGGCCTGCAGGGTACCATCCTGGAGCCACTCGCAGGAGAGAATGCTTCTGCTGCCCCCAGTCCCGTAATGGGAGGTGTCAGCCATCCGTCTGTCTCCCCTGCTGTTGGGTCTGATGCTGCGGGTCCAGCCAGGAAGCGCACCACGACCATGGCGGGGTTGGATAGCTCTCCGGGCAGTATCGATGATGTCGATGGGCAGGACAATCAGGAGGAGAAGAAGAGACAGCCCGTGAAACGGGCTTGTAATGAATGTCGTCAACAAAAGGTAAGCTCACGCCACACTTAGGGTTTCTATTCATCCGAGACATGTGGCTTACTTGGATTGTTATTAACCCTCTCTTTCGTACAGCTCCGATGTGATGTTATTCAAGACCCGTGGACGGATTGCTCCCGATGTCGTCGTCTGAAGCTGGATTGTAAAATCGAGTCCAACTTCAAACGGGTTGGGAAACGCAGTCGCAACGCCGAGATGGAACGCGAGATCATCGAGCTGAGGAAGCAGATTGCTACTGTGCAGGCTGGGGCTATGCCTCAACCGCAGTCGGCCTCGTTGCCGCCGGTTCAGACGCCCAAGCAAGAAACGGCCAGCCAGGTTGGCTCGGGAGTCTACCATACGCCGTCGGCCATGTCTGCTGATCAATATATGGGATCCCATGAGGCTGTTGCGTCGCTTTTGGATTTGCGCTCCGGCTTTGATGGCTCGAACTACATGAGGAACGGCAATCATCACTTCAAGCGCATTGAAGATGTCGCGGTCGTTCCGGAGAGGGTGACGGAGCTGTTTCATCTGTAAGGCTTGAAGCAGAATATTTATCAAGGATATATGCTAATGTTGTTAGGTTCTTCACCTTCTACCATCCTTTTCTACCATTCCTTGATCGAGACCAGTCGCCCGATGATTACTACAGCGCATCGCCACTGCTGTTCTGGACCATCATCAGTGTAGGCGCGCGGCGCTTCCAGGCCGACACCCACCTTCTTAATTCCCTCTCAGGCCCGGTCTCGCGATTGGTGTGGAGTACGCTGGCGGACATCCCACAAAGCTACCATGTCGTGAAGGCTCTCTGTTTGCTCTGTACCTGGCCTTTTCCTACTAGCAGCACGTCCACCGATCCGACCTTCATGCTCTGCGGTATGATGATTCAAGTGGCAATGCAGCTGGGCCTGCACCGTCCGTCTCATACGCAGGACTTTAGCAAATTCCGCGTGGAGCTTATTGAAGAGGAACTTCGCGACAAGGTGCGAACCTGGGCAGTCTGCAACATTGTCGCCCAGCGGTATGTGGTTCCATCGTTATCGTTATCGATCTCGATCTTTTTCTGACTAGGATGCAGTGTTGCTACTGGTTATGGCCAGCCTCCGTCCTCTGTGTACGACTGGACACTGTCTTCGAATGACTCCGTGGACCCCAACTTTAGGTTGCCCGACGACATCAGATCGAGGCTGGAGATCGAAAAGTTTTGCGACAAGGTCACCAAATCTTTATATACTAACCGGCGGGACCCTGTTGGGCTCTGCAGCGATCAGGAGCGATCAACATTGATCTCATTTCTGTCGCGGGACTTCGATGAATTGGAGAATCAGCTGAAGGCGCACAATGACTGTACGTGCTTCCTTAGGCATTATGATGCTTGTGATAAGACGATCTAACCTTTGCAGGTATCACTAATCTTTATTTGCGCGCATCGAATCTTCATCTTCACTTGTCTGCGTTCTTCGACGACACGACTGCAAAGGATTATAGAGAGCGTCTTCTCTCGCTCTATGTCGCTACCACGACCTTCCTCGAAGCAGCGATGAACCTGGAAACGGAAGTCGGCCCGGTGCTGTCATACACCCCGTACTACGTGTATCAGATGATGGTCGCGGGCGGATGCACTCTGCTGAAGCTATGCAAGAGCTTCTTCGCCGCGCACATCGACATGGATTATGCGAAGAACCTCTTCAATCGGACGATCTGGGCCATTCGACGCGTGTCCGTCTCTAGCAACGATCTCCCAGAGCGACTGGCGGAAGTGGTGGCGCAGATGTGGCGGCTGAACAACGTGCCCACACCAAAATTGACGGCAGACGGCGGAGAGGTCGACGACTCGCTGATGCTCAAGGTGCGGTGCCGGATGAGTATGTCCTTGCTTTTCGACTCAGTTTGGCGGTGGCGGGAAGACGCGCGGACCAAGGGGCGTAATCTTGAAGGTATGCACGCGTGCAAACAAATCTACGTATGTATCGGAGACTGACAACACCTGCAGCATATCTTAAAAACCCAACCAATCCAGACTCGAACGCCGAATCCTCCAACTCATCATCTGTCCAACCTACGCGCACCTCGACAGCGACACCCGGGGTCGCCGGCGCCGCAGACCCCAGTCTCGCGCCAGCCCCCATGCTCCCACAAGCCAACATGGGCGTATCCGCACCGAGCGCTGTGGGCGCCCTTCCCAGCGGATTCATGGAACCCAATTACGAAGTATTCGATCCGCTGAACTGGCTTCTGGACGGACTGGTTGATTTGCCGTATTCATACTCGACGATATCGGGGATAGAGTCTCAGGGTATTGCATGAGCAGTATAATTCTGTCGACGACTTGACATGGCACATAAAAATTTCCTACACTATGCTACATATATTTGACGACTGTTTGATGTTTATTGTTGCTTGATTGATTGATGTACCATATTATTATACCAGCGAGATGATTGGATTGATGTCCGACACACGCACACAACCCCGACTATCCTTACGTTATGGAGTTGGACAGGAGCGAGGAGTTGGCGATTTGCTTTGCTAGCTTCGAATGAAGCTAGGGTTGGATTTTTGATTTGTTCAGATGATACCAGGTATCGATAGTTGGATGCGATGCATATAGTGCAATAGATGTATTTACATGGCTTTTCCTACTCCGAGATAAGATTCTTCTATTTATTTATTTACTTATTTTGTTTTATTCCCTTTCAGAGTTGAGATATACTTTTAAGGGTACCATGTTATCTACAATTTAAGGTGTAATATAGATTGTGATATGGTTATGGTTATCTTAGTCTCAAGTCTAACCACGGAATCACGTGGCGTATTCCAACGTCTAATTACGTAGTTACCACCTCCATCCAACTGTATACCATCGATCTATCTATCTATCTATCTATCTATCTATCTATCTCCTATACTACTCTATATCTACTATAACTCTATAATAACATCAATCAATCATATCCACAACACAAAGCAGAATTAGAAGATATGCCCGACTTCGAAACAAAAAGACCTCCTTCCTCCCTCCTCATTCCTAAGAAACGTCCCCTCAAAACAAAGTCATCATCATTATTATCCAAAACCTATTCTACAGAGAAACACACACCAAGTCTATATTTCACATCAACATCCACAGAACAAGATCCCAAAAACAGAACAGTGAATAAGGATAGAGGAGCGAGTGCTGCAACAACAACAGAGTTTAATTTCTCGCTTCCGCCGCAGCCATTTCTTGATCCGGGGTGTTGGGAGAGGATTCGCGCATCTTCTTCTTCGAGATTAGGTGGTGAGGGTGGAAGTGGAAGTGGAAGTGGGGGTAGGAATGGCTTGCAGTTGAATGAGAAGGAGAAAGAGGAAGAGAGGAGACGGAGGAGAGCGAGGGAGGCGGAGTATGGGGGGATGGCGGTTAGGGGGAGGATCAGATAGTCTCTATTTATTTATTTCTAGTCTGTTCATTTTCCTATCGGGTATGGAGTTGTGGGTATTTATTACAGTGAGGATAGTTGTAATGTATGTTTTATCATTTTGAGCGAACTTGGTTGGCATCATATCGTGTATATTGTTGCATAAATCATCAGAGTAAGTATGGTATGGTATCTTCATCATCGTGGAATGGACTGGGACCATCAAGTAATGTTGAATCATGAGTAGAAAACAATTCCAAAACACAGAACAATACAAAATGCATGCAAAACACTAATCCAAAACATATGCAAAAAAAAAAAAAAAAAAAAAAAAAAAAAAAAAAAAA